GCAGGGCCACCAGACCAGGGCCACCAGACCAGGGCCACCACACCTCTAGCAGGGCCACCACACCTCTAGCAGGGCCACCAGACCTCTAGCAGGGCCACCACACCTCTAGCAGGGCCACCACACCTCTAGCAGGGTCACCAGACCTCTATCAGGGCCACCAGACCTCTAGCAGGGCCACCACACCTCTAGCAGGGCCACCAGACCTCTAGCAGGGCCACCAGACCAGGGCCACCACACCTCTAGCAGGGCCACCACACCTCTAGCAGGGCCACCAGACCTCTAGCAGGGCCACCAGACCTCTAGCAGGGCCACCACACCTCTAGCAGGGCCACCAGACCTCTAGCAGGGCCACCAGACCTCTAGCAGGGCCACCACACCTCTAGCAGGGCCACCACACCTCTAGCAGGGCCACCAGACCAGGGCCACCACACCTTTAGCAGGGCCACCACACCTCTAGCAGGGCCACCAGACCAGGGCCACCAGACCAGGGCCACCACACCTTTAGCAGGGCCACCACACCTCTAGCAGGGCCACCAGACCAGGGCCACCAGACCAGGGCCACCACACCTTTAGCAGGGCCACCACACCTCTAGCAGGGCCACCAGACCAGGGCCACCACCCCTCTATCAGGAAGGCGCCTATTCTGTTTGAAACCAACGGCATGTTCACCTTAATGGTCCCATTCAGCGTCGCCTAATTCAGCGCCAACCTTCAGATCGCGACTCCCCATTCAAGCGTGGCGACGATCTCCCCCCTCTCGCCGTTGACTTGTTTCACCAGAGCTAGAAAAAAAAAACACGGTTCTATTACCAGTCATTAAAGCGATACACAGGCTCCCGTCAGCTCCAGTGTAATACCCGCGGCCTAATTGAGGCCCCGTCCCCCGCACACACACAATGCCTCGGTTCGTCAACCCCCCCCCCCCCCACCCGGGCCTGGCACGGTACGTCGTCCCCCCCCCCCCCCCCGCCCCAAATAAAGGGGAAATATTGTGTGCTGGTGCCGGAAAGAAACAGTTAGCTCCCCTTGTAATTAATGCTAGGCACATGTCCGCGATCAAAGGGAGCGAAGGCGCCGCAGTTTAGTTGGGGGGGGGGGGGGGCTAGTCACATTACTTTTTGTGGGTTATAGGGGCAAGTCACATTCCTTTTGGTGGGTTACAGGGGCTAGTCACATTCCTTTTGGGGGGTTACAGGGGCTAGTCACATTCCTTTTGGTGGGTTCTAGGGGCTAGTCACATTCCTTTTGGTGGGTTACAGGGGCTAGTCACATTCCTTTTGGTGGGTTACAGGGGCTAGTCACATTCCTTTTGGTGGGTTACAGGGGCTAGTCACATTCCTTTTGGGGGGTTACAGGGGCTAGTCACATTCCTTTTGGTGGGCCCTAGGGTTAATCACATTCCTTTTGGTGGGTTCAAAGGGTGATTTCGCCATCACCCTTGCCTGTCTAACTATCAGTTCGCTATCGCCCCTATATTGACACCATAAAAGATTTTCACCAACTAAGTACCCTAGCCTTCCCATCCCACACCACCTACCCCTCCCCCATCCTCCAATCACCACATCCTTCACGGCAACAGCATCAGAATCTTCTCGCGACATTTTCTAAACTTCCCGGGTCTAGTGAAAGCTGTTCACAGCTCTCAATAAAGTTTCTGTAGTCCGCACCTCTCTGGCAAGATGTTATCGAGGAGAAAGTTTGGTGGGCTGCTTATTGTTATCGTGAGGATATTTTTACACAATAAGGCAGATAAAAAAAAAACTGCAACATTGAGTCGCATTCTTTAGTGTCAAAAAGTACTATCATCGTCCTGCTACCGAAGTCTCAGTGTGTGTGTGTGGGGGGGGGGGTGAGGGAGGGGGGCTTTTCTCACGTTTGATTGGTTTGTACCCATCACGTGATGTCTTCTGCTTGAGTCTACCCTTGAATGACCCAAATAAAACGTCCCCCATGTCCTGTTTAGCACTTTGAGCGGTTCCGTGTCCTAAACTATCCTCGACTATCACCGCGATTATCCCGTTGTTAAAGATTTGATGGCCAACGTTTGGACGCTGGCCGTGGCTTAGTGCTGGGGCCGTCTGGGCAGGGCCATCACGACACGCTTGGTTGGATTTATGACGCCTTCGTCGTTCGGCCCTGGGGGAGCCGCAGATCCACAGGCCGGACATAAAGACAACACTTCTCGCGGCATAGACGTCAGCGGAGATCTGCGATATTTCCGTGATGGGGGAGGTCGTTAACTGGTCGTTTGACCATCAACACTTAGAGATGGCTGGAATTGTTGTAGCTGCCATGAATTGCTAGAGATCCCCTGGAATAGTTATAATTACCCGTGAATAGTTATAGGTGGCCATTCCGGTTTGTACTCAGTCAACTGATAGTGGCCGGCCTTGAATATTTGATTTGGCCGTGGTCGAATTTTATCGTCTGTTTGTGGCTTTGAAGCCTTGTAGTTAAGACGTTTTACTTTTGTTTACATTTTGCTTTACTAATTGAACACTGCCCACTACGAACATGACCCACAACGAACACGACCCAGGCAGTGTTTCTTCCAGACTTTCTCGGGGGGGGGGGGGGGCTAAAATTTCCTGGGAGGGCGGACACTTTTAAAAGTATATTTTTTCTATATAAATTCCATTTCGTTTGGGGGGGGGGATCTTTCTTCGAGGGAGGGGGGGGGAGACGGAGCCCCGCCGAAGAGATACCTGGAAGAAACTCTGGACCCACAAACGAACACGCCCCACAACGAACACGACCCAATGAAAGTGACGTATAATCCCAAAAACATAGAATACCTTATCAGTTGTAGCAAATAACGAACTGTTCATGGAAGAAAATGACAGCCTATAATTTTTTTTCTCGCTCTTGTGAAATGTAATCATTTGAGTTTTGTATTCGCCGGGACCACAGACTTTGTTTGCTGATACCTTAGTTAACATTTCAAATTTTTTCCCTCCACTTTTCTCGTGTGTGAAGTGTACACAACTCATCCCCTTGACCTTTCGCAACTCAGGAAAAATGAACTCGTCTCAAAAGACCTGCTTACTTCCCTTGATTGTGTTTTTGTCTGTTTTGGTGTTTGTACTTCAGCTGTTCAGGGAAGGGTGGGGCGAAAGTGGGTATAGGGGTGGGGCGAAAGTACGTTGGAAGTGGGGGCAGGGGTGGGGTGAAAGTAGGGATGGGGTGGAAAATGGGGGTGGAGAAACAAGATAGCAAATTTTGTAACTAGGGACCTGCAGTACCAAATTGTTACGACACGCAAACAATTAGGGTGTTTACGGTAGAAAATACTGCCATCTGTTACCATCAGCTGTCTAGATATGCCCTACTAGGTTGGATTTAGATTTTCAACTGTCAAATTCTCACATACAAATGAACATAAACCAAATACCCCGAACATGTCAAATTCTCACATACAAATTAACATAAACCAAATACCCCGAACATGTCAAATTCTCACATACAAATTAACATAAACCAAATACCCCGAACATGTCCAATTGTCACATACAAGTTGACAGTAATAAAAAGGGGTAGTGTCAGTACCCTCACAAAGACAGGTACATTGGACGTTTCGACCCAAGGTCTTCGTCAGCGCACAATAGTGTGGTAAGAGACTAGGAAAAAAAGATACACAGTAACATAATTCTGGACTTGACAGTAAAAACACGTCTAAATGCCACGATACCAAAATGTAAAGACGCGTGTTAAAGGACGCTTGAACAACGTAAATGGGTTGGGGGGGCGGGGGGGGGGGGGGGATGGGGGGGGGGGTGAACCTCTACCCCGAACAGCAAATTTTAGATGAACACAACAACAAAAGTTGATGAAAGACAGAAAGACAATTCTAACTTGGTAACGTAAAAATTGATGCGGTGTTTCGCGTAGTTCTTTACTTAATTCTAATTTTGACTATTTAAAAAAAAAAAATCAATGTTGCCCAAGTTCTAGTGTATAGTCATTAGAGATACGCTAATCTGATTAAGGTTTTTTTTTTATTTCATGTACCTTTTATTTGATTAGGTATTTTTGTTCACTGTTTTTGAATTGTACAGCCATAAAATACTCATCAAACTTTTAAAAATATAGTGGCAGCGGTGGGATTCGAACCCACGCCCCCGAAGAGACTGGTGCCTTAAACCAGCGCCTTAGACCGCTCGGCCACGCTACCTACACTACAGTGCGGTTGCCTTCAGTACATGTATCGTTAGCATATGTAAATAAAAAAATATAAACAGCTTGTTAGATAGTACAATGCAGACGTACGTTAATGACGTTACCGTTATTGCCAGACGGATTTTTGCCCCCCCCCCCCCCCAACAGGGATTCTCAACATTTTGTGCCGGTCCTTTTTGCGATGTTAAATCTGATGTCGCATCCAGAGGAACAAACACGCCTTAATCACAACATTCTTTAACTACTCTTCTTTGTTTTTAAATGTAGAATAAACCTAACCAAAATATTTGTCTGAAAATATATTGGTTCTAGAAGAGTCTCATTACCTGCATAACTTCACCCGACGGTAAAACTTACAATCTTTAAGCCAAGCTCGGGGGAACCACTGATTCAGTTATTTCAGTGCAGTTGTGTTGAGATTTAAAGCCATTTTTTTGTTCCTTAGCTGTGGTTGTCAATTTAAAATAAACCACCGCCTAGAAGAAGATGGAGTTTTTGTTTTGAGGCAGAGTTAGTCGCCCTGTTGGGGTAGGCCACCTAGGGATACATGTAGGGGGTGGGGGTGGGTGGAGGATAGGGGTAGGATAAATCCATTCATCCTCCCCCCCCCCCAACCTAGACGTCACTAAAGCCCCACACACCCAACCAGACACGAGCAGTATTTTGGCTTAGAAGTGTTGGATTCTTAATAAAATAATAGTAAACGCACCATACTGTATAATATGTAGACAAACTAGTTTCGTTGTTCCTATTATAAAATATGTCATTAGCCTATATCATAAAGTTTTATATAAACATGGTAACATTTTTAAAACCTTTTTCAGGTTGTGGAGAAGTTGATGTCCAAGAAATGTCGATGTCACGGCGTTTCCGGTTCCTGCGCAGTGAAGACGTGCTGGCGGGGACTTCCGGCATTCAAAGACATTGGCCAGTCGCTCAAGTCCTTCTACGAGACCTCGGTCCGGCTGGCTGGACGCTCCAAGCAGAAGCTCCGCCGTAAGGAGAAGTCGAAGCGTCGGGTGCCGATCAGCACTGAGGAGCTGGTGTACCTGAGCAAGTCCCCCAACTACTGCAAGCACAACCCCACCCGCGGGATCCTGGGCACCACGGGGAGGGTGTGCAACCGCACGTCCGAGGGCCCGGAGGGGTGCAACCTGCTGTGCTGCGGCAGGGGCTACAACACGCAGGTGGTGAAACACGTGGAGCGGTGCCACTGCAAGTTCCACTACTGCTGCTACGTCGAGTGCAAGAGTTGCGCCACCATGGTGGACATCCACACCTGTAAATAAACCCCTCCCCCCACCCCCGACATGGTCCATCGGCCACAGCATTGTTATCACTACCCACAATTCCTCTACCACACGGACCAATCAACGGATTGCATGGGCGTGGTGAAACGAAGTCCCATGTCAACACACTTCTCGTCAAGTTTCGTCGTTGTGCAACTCTGATCTGATATTATTTGGCAATAACCATTTTATTTTCACTAATCCATTGAAGTCGTGCACATGTTCTCACAACAAACTACCAGCGAACTGTGAGGGGAGACAATTTACAATAGCATCATCTTCCTTGTGCAAAGCATCAAACCGAAAGTGAACCTCATCACCAACACGTCATCCAAGAACTCTTCAATGGTTTTTTTTTACTGCTCAAAACAAAAGAGCTCATATCTTATTTTAAACTGCTAGTTTCTTCTTCCATAGTATAAGATTTCTACATCATGTGTTCAACTGATTTACTAAATGAATGAGGTATTGAAATAGGTTGCCATTTTCGGACTATACGTATTATTTCTATTTTTATCACGTATTTGTGAGATAGACCGCGAAGTCTGTGTTCGAAACTTAAAATCTTGATGTTAATATACAATTTGTCAACTCAACTCAGGCTTAACTTTATTTCGAAAATATTATTTCCCCACTACATTGTATTACATTTAGCATTTTATTTATTAAGTGTAGAAACTACCTATGTCGTGTACGATCTTCTCACATAGAGATACAGTTCTATACATTAAGAAGAACTCGTTCTAAAATCTTATAAATGAACTAGTCTGCTACTGGCTTTCATTCATTAAAACGTTTAACAGTTGGTCATAATTAGCAATCAGGATTAACTGTTAACATTAAGCAATAGCTGTAGTTCCCATTAGTAGAGCCATTAGACATGGGTGATTGTGGGCCCTTTCATTAAGCAGGTAGTCAGTTAATGAGCCTTATCATTGACCAGATAGTGGGCCCCGATAGTGGGCCCTATCATTGAGCAGGTAGTGGGCCTATCATTGAGCAGGTAGTGGTCCCTATCACTGTGCAGATAGTGGACCCTATGATTGAGCAGGTAGTGGGCCCTATCATAGAGCAGGTAGTGGGCCCTATCACTGAGCAGGTAGTGGGCCCTATCACTAGCAGGTAGTGGGCCCTATCACTGAGCAGGTTGTGGGCCCTATCATTGAGCAGGTAGTGGGCCCTATCATTGAGCAGGTAGTGGGCCCTATCATTGACCAGATAGTGGGCCCTATCACTGAGCAGTTAGTGGGCCCTATCATTGACCAGATAGTGGGCCCTATGATTGAGCAGGTAGTGGGCCCTATCACTGAGCAGGTAGTGGGCCCTATCATAGAGCAGGTAGTGGGCCCTATCACTGAGCAGGTAGTGGGCCCTATCATTGAGCAGGTAGTGGGCCCTATCATAGAGCAGGTAGTGGGCCCTAACACTGAGCAGGTAGTGGGCCCTATCATTGAGCAGGTAGTGGGCCCTATCATAGAGCAGGTAGTGGGCCCTATCACTGAGCAGGTAGTGGGCCCTATCATTGAGCAGGTAGTGGGCCCTATCATAGAGCAGGTAGTGGGCCCTATCACTGAGCAGGTAGTGGGCCCTATCATTGAGCAGGTAGTGGGCCTATCATTGAGCAGGTAGTGGGCCCTATCACTAGCAGGTAGTGGGCCCTATCACTGAGCAGGTTGTGGGCCCTATCATTGAGCAGGTAGTGGGCCCTATCATTGAGCAGGTAGTGGGCCCTATCATTGACCAGATAGTGGGCCCTATCACTGAGCAGTTAGTGGGCCCTATCATTGACCAGATAGTGGGCCCTATGATTGAGCAGGTAGTGGGCCCTATCACTGAGCAGGTAGTGAGGTAGTGGGGCCTGTCACTGAGCATAGTGGACCCTATCATTGAGCAGGTAGTGGGCCCTATCATAGAGCAGGTAGTGGGCCCTATCACTGAGCAGGTAGTGGGCCCTATCATTGAGCAGGTAGTGGGCCCTATCATAGAGCAGGTAGTGGGCCCTATCACTGAGCAGGTAGTGGGCCCTATCATTAAGCAGGTAGTGGGCCCTATCATTGAGCAGGTAGTGGGCCCTATCATTGAGCAGGTAGTGGGCCCTATCACTGAGCAGGTAGTGGGCCCTATCATTGAGCAGGTAGTGGGCCCTATCATTGAGCAGGTAGTGGGCCCTATCATTGAGCAGGTAGTGGGCCCTATCATTGAGCAGGTAGTGGGCCCTATCATTGAGCAGGTAGTGGGCCCTATCATTTAGCAGGTAGTGGGCCTATCATTGAGCGGGTAGTGGGCCCTATCATTGAGCATGTAGTGGGCCCTATCACTGAGCAGGTTGTGGGCCCTATCACTGAGCAGGTAGTGGGCCTATCACTGAGCAGGCAGTGAGGTAGTGGGCCCTATCATTAAGCAGGTAGTGGGCCTATCACTAGCAGGTAGTGGGCCCTATCACTGAGCAGGTAGTGGGCCTATCACTAGCAGGTAGTGGGCCCTATCATTGAGCAGGTAGTGGGCCTATCACTGAGCAGGCAGTGAGGTAGTGGGCCCTATCATTAAGCAGGTAGTGGGCCTATCACTAGCAGGTAGTGGGCCCTATCACTGAGCAGGTAGTGGGCCTATCACTAGCAGGTAGTGGGCCCTATCACTGAGCAGGTAGTGGGCCCTATCATTGAGCAGATAGTGGGCCCTATCACTAGCAGGTAGTGGGCCCTATCATTGAGCAGGTAGTGGGCCCTTTCATTAAGCAGGTAGTGGGCCCTATCATTGAGCAGATAGTGGGCCCTATCATTAAGCAGGGAGTGAGGTAGTGGGCCCTATCACTGAGCAGATAGTGGGCCCTATCACTAGCAGGTAGTGGCCCTATCACTAGCAGGTAGTGGGCCCCATCATTGAGCAGGTAGTGGGCCCTATCACTAGCAGGTAGTGGGCCCTATCACTAGCAGGTAGTGGGCCCTATCACTAGCAGGTAGTGGGCCCTATCACTAGCAGGTAGTGGGCCCTATCATTGAGCAGGTAGTGGGCCCTATCATTGAGCAGATAGTGGGCCCTAACACTAGCAGGTAGTGGGCCCTATCATTAGCAGGTAGTGGGCCCTAACACTAGCAGGTAGTGGGCCCTAACACTAGCAGGTAGTGGGCCCTATCGTTGAGCAGGTAGTGGGCCCTATCATGGAGCAGGTAGTGGGCCCTATCACTAGCAGGTAGTGGGCCCTATCATTGAGCAGGTAGTGGGCCCTATCATGGAGCAGGTAGTGGGCCCTATCACTAGCAGGTAGTGGGCCCTATCGTTGAGCAGGTAGTGGGCCCTATCATGGAGCAGGTAGTGGGCCCTATCACTAGCAGGTAGTGGGCCCTATCGTTGAGCAGGTAGTGGGCCCTATCATGGAGCAGGTAGTGGGCCCTATCATTAGCAGGTAGTGGGCCCTAACACTAGCAGGTAGTGGGCCCTATCACTAGCAGGTAGTGGGCCCTATCATGGAGCAGGTAGTGGGCCCTATAATTGAGCAGATAGTCAGTTAATGAGCCCTATCATTGAGCAGGTAGTTGCTACCTTACACACGAGGCAGAAATTCGGATTCTCGCTTCATTATCATTTTAATTGAATTTATTTAATGTGTTTAATTATTTAATTTAATCATTGCCCCCACCTCTACCCTACTATAAACTCCCCCAACCGCCACCCCTGTAAAATATCTACAGTGTATTTTTCTCCCCATCTTTATATACGGCCATGTAACTCAAGAAATCCTCCCATTTAATTCCCATCTCCGCAAATCTTTATTGTCTTTATATCACATCAACCTGAACAATTCACTTTCCTGTATAAGCCCCTCCCTTTATTGTTTTAAAATGGCTTCCGATTAGGCTCCGCCCTTCAGCCATTCTAGTTGTACATTTGATGATTTCCACTGTTGTTTAATGACGCTATTTATTTATGTTGGTCAACACGTACTGCCAACTTGGTGGTTCATTCACACTTCATTCAACAGAAAAATTACAACATGCAAGTTAACGGCCAGTTTGATTTCCTGATTATTTTAAAGGTTATTGATTTCCTGATTATTTTAAAGGTTACTGATTTCCTGATTATTATTAAAAGGTTATTGATTTCCTGATTATTTTAAAGGTTATTGATTTCCGTGATAAATTTTGTTCAGAACTATTTTGTTTTGCTCATGGGTTGAATTTGATGTTTATTTATGAGCTATGTGGTCAAGGTGCATGTGTCTTGGTTAACTTTCTGTGGTAAACAAATAAGCAGTAAAGGTAAACAATGGTAAACTAATATCTCCGGGGTGAAGTTATCACATCAACTGGTGTTAGGTTTACAATCAAACTTTAATTTCTATGACGTAGCAAGGTAGGCGGACCAAGTTATCACCCGTATAAATTAGTAGGAGGCTAGTATATATATATATAAATAAATAAATATATATATATATATATATATATATATATATATATTCTATCTAGGTTCGCCACAACGCTGAAATGTTATACTTTGCCATTGCTCAAGAGTCGAGGAAAATCGGTCAGCTTTTAAATCCAAACAGTAGTATTGTAATTTATTTGCTTTGCTAATGTAAACTTGTTTTGTTTTGATGAATCTGTGTATAATTGATGGAAATGTAAAGTGTAACGCCGTGTGTAATCAATTAATCCATTAATTATTTATCAATGTATTTCTCTAAAAAACAAAAAGAAACCTTGGAACGGTTTTTTTTTTTATGTTTGAATTTTTTTTTTTTAAAAAGAAAAAATTTTTTGTGACTATATTTGTTATATTAGTCAAATGTGAATGTAATTGTAATAATCGGTAAACGTTATTACATGTGCATCTGTAACTTTCATTACATGTGTAACGACATCTAACTTGATTACATGTGGAACTAGATTAACAAGGATTGTAGGATCTATTGCATTTGTGACGTGAGTGAGGTTTATCGAAAAAATAAAACATTGAGTAGACCAGAACTTCTTTAAACTTAAACTGTAAAGCTTGCCAGTCTTCCACGACCATTCTTGACGTACAATGTCAAAATCTCGAGATAAATAATTCACTCGTCTTCCTACAATAAAACATTGAGTAGACCAGAACTTCTTTAAACTTAAACTGTAAAACTTGCCAGTCTTCCACGACCATTCTTGACGTACAATGTTGTCAAAATCTCGAGATAAATAATTCACTCGTCTTCCTACAATATTGTCAACTTTGCGGTTCCAACATATTGGAGCGCCAAATATTCTTACCAATTTCACTTCAACCTCAGCTCACAAACTACAAAAAAAAAACAGTATTTTAAGGACTGGTTAGTTGTTTTTTTTAAACTGACATTAATTAGCGCAGTAATGACTGTAACTGACCACAGTTATGGCATACCCCTCTTCTAATTGGCTGTTTAATCCCGATCACGTGACATCAAATGGCAAACATTTTTTAAAGTTTCTCGCAGAATCAAGAGAGTTTTAAAATTTCATGTGGAGTTCGGAGATTCCCTTTGTATAAACACGAGTATTTAAAATTCTCGACAAGTTCAATAAATATTACATTATTAAAAGATTTAATTTTTAATTTTTTTACATATTTTCTTGCATCCAACGGTGATATGTCTTTGGTACGCCCCCTACTGATAGTGCCGTTCAGTGTAGGTGTAGTGGTCTTAGTGGGCTCATTTTGTTAATTCAGTTAGTTCACTTTACACTAAGTCCTGGTCCTTGAGGTCTCCTGGTTCAGTTCACATGAATCTGAGGCCACTTGGTTCATATGAATCTGAGGCCATTTGGTTCATATGATTCTTAAACTCTCTAAGGACATTTGGTTCAGTTCACATGAATCTGAAACTCTCTAAGGACATTTGGTTCAGTTCACATGAATCTGAAACTCTATGGGGCCACTGGTTCAGTTCACATGAATCTGAAACTCTCTAAGGCAATTTGGGTTCAGTTCACATGAATCTGAAACTCTACGAGGCCACTAGGTTCGCCGAGCTTTATGACGTCATAAACCTGTAGTTACCTGAACCATTTTTTACTGCGGGGGTGGGGAACGAGTTGGGCAGTAATTTTCCAAAAAAAATTAATTAATGCTGAGCTAAGAGGCAGCCCTAGAAGAGCTCTGGAGTGTGTGCTCTCAGCGAGATTATATTTTTTAAATGTTGGGGGGGGGGGGGGGGGTAAATTATTTTAAGTAATATACCGAGGTCTAGCTTCCATGTTAGATATTTTAATCACTCCCTTAGTTTGTTTACAGTTCAGAATAGACTGACATACCCACAAATGCGATTATCTGAAGTGTATAACTGTGATGAAATTTGATTTCAATGAATCAAATGTATCAAACCTGTTAAAATTGTGGCCAATTTGTGTTACCAGAAACCAGCAGTATCACGTGTTGTGGGTGAACCAATCGTTTGACAGCGTCGTCTGTGTTAGCTGTAGAATTTATTGTTTCGTGTAGGAGTTTAGACCAGATTTTTAGTGTGATTGTTGTTATTATAAGTAATACAAGAACAAGCATTTTAATTTAATCCGCTTTTTTTAACTGACAAAACTTCTTACACAGCATACAATGTCCAGAATTGCAATATAAAATGTATAGCAAGTTGTATTTCTATTCTAATATTATTTCTTATGAGATTTGTACAAAGCAATAATACATTACGTAGTTTTGTTTAGACTAAAGTGTTTTTTATTTCGTTATTTACTGGGTTGTTTTTTTATAATTTTTTTAAAAATCTAAAGCTGAATGTATGGTCGTATGTTTGTGCGAAAGTGTGTGTTTGTTATGATCAAAGACCATTAAATTCTGGGCTGGATTCATCTTCTTGAATGATTCACCAGTCCGCATCATCTCCACTTTTTTATGGCGCATATCTCACAGCGCCTCGTTTTAATTCTCCAGTGAGATGGAGGTTGGCGCGCGGAGTGTATGAGATCAAAGTTCTGGTTTATGGTTTACCCATCTACCTCGCGGAATGGTTACTGACGTGGGCAAGTTTTTTCCCGACCAGAACAATCATCAAAACTTGCAAATAAACTATAATAAAAAATGTTCTAAAGCAGGGAATTTTTTTTTTTAATTGAGTAGATTATGTGCATACATACAGTATATATATATATATATATATATATATATATATATATATATATATATATATATATATATATATATGTGTGTGTGTGTGTGTGTGTGTGTGCACAGGAAGTGGAAATAGACATTCACCAAATAATGTACGTGGGGGTCGGCGTGGTCGAATCGGTAAAGCTTATGTTTACTACACCGAAAAGTCTCGAGTTCGAACTTCTAGGAGAGACAACTCCAAAATCAAAAAACTGCTGCTGCTAAAAAGAAGAGCAGGCTGAAATCGGAGTCATCCAGTGTTTCTTCCAGACTTTTTTCTCCGAAGAGATGCCTGGAAGAAACTCTGGAGTAATCGGCCTAAATGGCGCATAACCAGTTGACACGTAATACTTAATTGTGTTGGAGAACATCTCTTCCAACACTAAAATTAAGAACGCAGAAGAAGAAGAATGTATGTGGATATGACACTGATATAACTTAAATAGGACGATTTATCTGTGTCCATAAAGAGGCATACGGTTACTGTATGAGCGGATACATCCAATCAAAATGAGAAGTTCATCACTAGGGTACAACCACGTGACCAGACTTCTACACCAGGTTCAAACTCTGCTCCTACTACTTACTGCAGTAGGGAGGGGGGTGGGTACATGCCTTGAGGGTGGGCCACCCACTCCCCAACCTTTTGATGTTTGTTTTTTTAATTTTAAAAAAAATTGTGTAATTTAATTTTTTTTTAAAGCAAAAGTTGTTCTGTTTTTATCGGGAGTGAAAGCACGCAGCAAGCGCCCCCAAACCCATCTGCTGGAGCCGCCTTAGATCATATACGAACTCAGAAGTGATAATTTTACCTCCTACGCTGAAAATTCTCGACTGAGATGTAGGGGAAGGGAGGTAAGAGGACATAAAAATTTCACTGTGACTTCAGTCGACTTTTTGTTGTTGTTTTTTTTTTTCCATTTCTTTTTGGCGTTAAAAAAAACTAACCACCGTGTTCCATCATGAACAGGTAAGTTAACGCACCAAGGAACACACCTTTAACGTGATACAGGTAACACACCTCGAACGTGATATAGGTAACGAACCATGAACGTGACACTGGTAACACATCTTTAACGAGACACAGGTAACACACCTTGAACGTGATACAGGTAACACACCTTTAACGTGACACAAGTAACACACCTTTAACGTGATACATGTAACACACATTGAACGTGACACACGTAGCACGCCTTTAACGTGACACAGGTAACACATTGAACGTGACACAGGTAACACACCTTGAACGTGACACGGGTAACACACCTTGAACGTGATACGGGTAACACACATTGAACGTGATACAGGTAACACACCTTTAACGTGACACAAGTAACACACATTTAACGTGATACATGTAACACACATTGAACGTGACACAGGTAACACACCTTTAACGTGACACAGGTAACACACCAGGAAAAACACCTTTCACGAGATGCAGGTAAAATAATTTTTCAGGAAAAAGAATAAAGCGGGAGGAACTTGGAGGTGACAGACGATTTCAAGTGGGGTTCAAAGGTCGGAATGTGTATAAAAACAGCTCACCTCACAAGCATAAATAGCGCTTGCTTGAAATGTGGAGATAGTTCACACCTTTCCACACCGGCGTGCATACTGAACAAACTACAGGTCTGAAATAAACATCTTATTATTATTTTCTCACTGCAAGAAATACATGAAGAACTTAATCACAATTTGCCATAGTGTAGTGTAGTGTTCCGCGCAATTTGACTTGTCTATAGTTGTCTACCATATGACCCGACCCTGGACCTTACCTTATCATTATGACCCAACCATGGACCTTACCTTACCGTTTGACCCGACTATGGACCTTACCTTACCATATGACCCGACCATGGGCAGTAGCCTACCATCTCACCCATGTTCAGCATAGAAATAAAATTCAGGTAAAAAGCGAGCCAAATGGCACATGAGGTAGGTGGTAACTTTGAATCTACTCATAACACAGTAATTCTATTTATAAAAATTGATTACACAGTTTCGCAATTAATTCAAGCATAAAAAGATATAATTTGCACTGTGTTTTTTAACGGTCATTAGAGGATCTAAAATTTTGATCCTCAAAAACTAAATACTAATATTAGTCTATACACCTAAACTGACCAAATATCGGTTCGCGCAAATAGTCTACAAGTGACTCTACAACAGTACATGGACGCCATTTTATTTTAGCAGGGAGCGCGAGCATCAGACGAGAACTAAACTCGTCAAACAGGAGATTTTCGTCACCACGATCAAGGTTGTGTTCCCAGGACTAACAGCTCTGCCCAGACGGAAAAAGTTATTTACTCACTAATCCGTTGGCTGTGTCCGTTTGCAGCGGTCAGTCTAAGTAACGAGAAGTGTAACCAATCCGATGCCGCTAGGGGCAAGTGGGTGGACGGAGATTTTTGCTAAAACCCTCAGTTAGGCTTTTTATTTAAAGTAAATAATTTTAAAACTGAATCCATTTCTGTTAAGGGACGCCCCCCCCCCCTCCACACACACACGACAAGATAAAGCTATTGGCAACAGCGGGTTCGTGTCACTAGCAGTTTTGCTCAGTTTCAAAATTCACCCCCCCCCCCATCTAAAAAAGAAACCTGCCTACGTCACTGGTCCTTAACAAATATAAATATTTATTGAGACAAACTTTCTGCTGCCCGCCCTGAATAAAGCTCCAACTTTCTTCAATGAAGTGCACACCATTACACATATGCTTTCTTCAATGAAGTGCACACCATTACACATATGCTTTCTTCAATGAAGTGCACACCATTACACATACCATGCTTTCTTCAATGAAGTGTGCACCATTACACATACCATGCTTTCTTCAATGAAGTGCACACCATTACACATACCATGCTTTCTTCAATGAAGGGCACCATTACACATACCATGCTTTCTTCAATAAAGTGCAAAACATTACACATACCATGCTTTCTTCAATGAAGGGCACACCATTACACATATGCTTTCTTCAATGAAGTGCACACCATTACACATACCATGCTTTCTTCAATGAAGGGCACACCATTACACATACCATGCTTTCTTCAATAAAGTGCAAAACATTACACATACCATGCTTTCTTCAATGAAGGGCACACCCTTACACATATGCTTTCTTCAATGAAGTGGGGGGGGGGGGTGATAAAAACCTCCATAATCTTGAGATACAAAATAAATGACAAATATGCAATGGATTGGTTAATTTCCAGCATCTGTTGAGCTTTGTTTTTTTTTTTTAAATTACAGAATATTTTAATTTCTGCAGCTTTTGACACTTTCTGAAGAAAAAAATAACAAAATGCAGTAGGAAAAAATAGAAAACTTTAATAAACCAACATTACATTTTCCATAAATTCATCTTTTCATTGACCAGTAGGATATTTCCTCAAAAGAAATATTTAAAAAATAAAAAAGTACATATATATATATCTTTATGTAAGTACATGACAATATCTGTCAGTGACAAAAATACACATTTAATGTCAATATCTGCCATACAATGTCATGTCCAAAAATGAGCAATGATCAAGAGTACAGCAGGACTTAATGTAGGGGAAACAATCCATTCTAAATTCATCAATAAACAAAATAGTCAAATAATGATTTATTCTGTATCTTTTCAAATCACAGTAATATTTTTTTGAAGAATATTGTGAAGGTTTGTTATTTTTTTCAACCCCTTGAACTCCATCCCATACTTTGTATTTTAAGGTGAACAGAAATTCTGGTATATTATCCTATGTACCAGAAATTGTACAACCAACTGGCATCATAATGACAAAACTATAATTTTACAAATATGGTACATTAGAAGTAGTAACTAAAAAAGTATTTTATCTTCTGTTATGGTGTTTCATTGAAATAGTGTAAAAATAAAAATGTCAGCATCACAAAGGAGTAGGAGATTCTTCATCCCTTAATGTAACCACAACTTTCCCTGTTGATTTTCTGTCCAAAACATACTGATACGCTTCATTGATCTGTTGAACAAAATTCAAACCATACAGTTGTAAATAACTTGTTTTAATATTGTATTGAAAATATGCTTTTCCGTTTCTTAGATATAATTTAAGGGTTGTTTACAATCTATATACTACTAAAAGTCAAGTTTGTTTACATGTTTGAATATTTATTTTTTTGTTTGTTTGTTTGTTTGCCTGATTGACTATCTCGCATGGTTGCACTCATCGTGGAAAGCTGTAAAATAGTATGTAGGTAGAGAAAAATTTTTGTTTTAAGACAGACTGTTAATCACACATTTATTTAAAGACGTTAATTAATTTATTGATTTATTCATACGCAGAGTAACCCATTTTTTTAAAAAAGATTAAAACGACCACTACACTCGGCGGGACCGTGACATCACAGGTTTTTGTTTACTCTTTAGTACAATAAAATGGCGGCGTTCTAAATCTAATTTTCTGTCGGTAATAACTTAACAATACGTCCGTTTGCTGTATTTATTACGTTCCAACACTTATATCAATTTTAAACTGTCTTTTTTCATTTAGTTTTACAATAAATTTCTCTAGATCTAAAGATCAGCTGTCGAAGGAAAGTTATGAATCTAGCCTAGATCTAGATCTAGCCTAGATCTAGGTCACTAGACTCAATGTAAATTCTAGATCTAGACTTAATGTAAATTCTACATCTAGAATCTATTTCAGGCCTTAATACATCTAGAATCTATTTCAGGCCTTAATTATTTTATATAAATCTTTGTTTGGCTAATTTAAGATAAAATTTAATTTGAAAGTTACTAGATTCTACTACTAGACTTAGATCTAGATCTATGCGCGGAGACTCAAAAGTATAGTATAAAAATTCATTTGTGACGTCACGAGTAAATAGCTAAGTTGGTAGCGTAGTCTGCTCTCATGCGGGTGGTACAGGTTCTAGACCAATATGTCAATGATATTTTTTTTCAATTTTTTTTTTTAGATGTGAATGATAAAGTTGCCTATCTGAACTTGGCAGGATACAGGGCAGGTGAAGTAGAGTTCATCTGTTTCTTTGTCCTAAGCATATGAAAGGATAGTGTGGTCAGAGACATGCTCGGCTGGAATAGTTTTTTAAACGATAAAAACATGTTGTCTGAGACTTGGCGGGACACTAGGCAGGTGAAGTAGAGTTGAGTAGGTCACATGTGACGTCAGTATATGAAGGGATAGTCCGAAATCGGTGTTTTCGGTGTTTTTAAAAGATAAGAAACATATTTTTGAATGTGGGGTCTGTTTTTGTGACGATAAGTGACACTGCAGTAGCGTAGCGAGGAGGGGGGGGGGGGGCGGGAGGGGAGGCGGGAGGGGAGGCGGGGGGGGGGGGGGGGGGAAGGGGAGGCGGGGGGAGGTGGAGGGGGGGGGCGGGGGGACATATGTTGGGGCGCCAAAATGGTTTGGAAAAATAAATTGAAAGGTTGAGGGGGGTTCAAATCGAAAGTTTGAGTGGGGGGGGGGGGGGGGGTGGGGGTGCACATCGAAAGTTTGAGGGGGGGTTGAAAATCGAAATCTTGGAGGGGGGGGGGTTAAAATCGAAAAGTTTGTCCCCGGGCGCCGGGAAGGGTCGCTATGCCTCTGAGTGACAGACGTGATGTTTTTTGATGGATGACCCCCGAAACCCACAGTTATCCAACGGATGACGGGTATTCTAGTAAACTTTTAAAATTAGTTTTCAAGAAACTTTTATTGTAGTTTTCAAAAAACTTTCAGTAGTGTTCAAGAAACTTTTATAGTAATTTTTAAGAAACTTTTGTAGTAATTTTTAAGAAACTTGCAATTAGCTTTCAAGAAACTTTTATAATAGTCTTCAAGAAACTTAAAATAAGCTTTCAAGAAACTTTTTATAGAAATCTTTAAAGAAACTTTTATAGGTCTTCAAGAAACTTGAAATTAGTCCAAGAAACTTCTATAGTTGTCTTAAGAATTTTAAAATAAGTTTTCAAGAAACTTTTATAGTAGTCTTCAAGAAACTTGAAATAATTCAAGAAACTTGAAATTATTCAAGGAACTTGAAATTATTCAAGATACTTGTAATTATTCAAGAAACTTGAAATTATTCAAGAAACTTGAAATTATTCAAGGAACTTGAACAATAGCTTTCAGGTGTCTGTACCTGTTCTAGGGGAAAAGTCCTCCCAACATAAGGCTGAAGCTTTTGTTCTGCGACTGCCTTTAGCACCTGGGCAATGGACTGGCCAAAGACCCCTGGGTTGGCCTGAGCGTAGCTGCCCCAGTAGACGCCCATCAGGGTAGCAGACTTGAGCAGCAACAGATTAGCTGGGACATTGGGGATGTTTCCAGAGCTGTAGCCCACTGTTATGGCCCGCCCCTCAAAAGCCAAGCTGAAAGTTGGGAAAATGTATACCATTTACAAGGCAGAAGTTTTTCAATCAACAATAGTGTGCCCTTAAGAAAACTGTTGGTCTTTTGGTATCAAGAAAACTACTGGCCTTATAATAGGAAAAATACTGGCCTTACATTTTGAAAACTGTTGGTATTATTATATGGAAACTGTTGGCCTTAAAATATAAAAACATTTGAAATGATAACATTATAAAAATTTTGGCCTAATAATATAATGAAAACTGTAATTAAATTTTTTTTCTTTTTTTAAAAGAAGAAAAAAATTTTAATTTTTTTTCTTTAGGATTAAGATACAGAGATTTAGATCTAATCATCACTCTTGAAGGTAATGCTAAACAATAGCTCTGCAAGATTTGATATTGTATTATATTATGTATCTATATTTGTAACTGTCAAGAAATTACAATCAGGTGATGTTTTAAACTAGCCAGAATAACAACAAAGACAATAAGGTGAAAGAACCTCTTGACGCAGTCTAACAGTGTTTCTCCGCCAACTTGATCCATGACAACATCCACCCCTCCCCCTTGAGTGATTTCCTTGACCTTGTCCCTTATCCTGTCCACACTGTAATCTATTGTGTAATCAGCGCCTCGCGACTTCAGAAACTGGCACTTCTCCTCTCCACCACAAACTGCAATCACCTGTAATATAGTAGTGTAGTCAGCAATCAAACAAGGGTTTGTGAAGATTTTAAATTTATGATACATTTTATATGCTGCTACATTTTGAAACTTTAACATACATACAGAAGCGCAGCGGTTAGCTTTAATGATCTGGTTGCTATCATTTGTGGCTGTCATACAACTGCATGTTATACTGCCCTGACCCAGTTAAACTGACCTGACACAGTTAAACTGACCTGATCTAGTTAAACTGACCTGATGCAGTTAAACTGACCTGATGCAGTTAAACTGACCTGACACTGTTAAACTGACCTGATCTAGTTAAACTGACCTGACACTGTTAAACTGGCCTGAAAATGTTAAACTGAACTGACACTGTTAAACTGACCTGACACTGTTAAACTGACCAGACACTGTTAAACTGACCTGACAATGCTAAACTGACCTGATCTAGTTAAACTGACCTGACACTGTTAAACTGGCCTGAAAATGTTAAACTGAACTGACACTGTTAAACTGACCTGACACTGTTAAACTGACCTGACAATGTTAAACTGACCTGACACTGTTAAACTGACCTGACACTGTTAAACTGACCTGACAATGTTAAACTGACCTGAAAATGTTAAACTGAACTGACACTGTTGAACTGACCTGATCTAGTTAAACTGACCTGACACTGTTAAACTGGCCTGAAAATGTTAAACTGAACTGACACTGTTAAACTGACCTGACACTGTTAAACTGACCTGATCTAGTTAAACTGAACTGACACTGTTAAACTGAACTGACACTGTTAAACTGACCTGATCTAGTTAAACTGACCTGATCTAAAACTGACCTGACACTGTTAAACTGGCCTGAAAATGTTAAACTGAACTGACACTGTTAAACTGACCTGACACTGTTAAACTGACCTGATCTAGTTAAACTGACCTGACACTGTTAAACTGACCTGATACTGTTAAACTGACCTGACACTGTTAAACTGACCTGACACTTTTAAACTGACCTGACACTGTTAAACTGACCTGACACTGTTAAACTGACCTGACACTGTTGAACTGACCTGATCTAGTTAAACTGACTTGACACTGTTAAACTGACCTGACAATGTTAACTGACCTGGCAATCAAACAAGTTTTTAGCTATGTCGACTGCAGCAAGACCAGTGGCCCCAGTAGCTGCTGTTACCAGAACCTTCTCACTGTAACATGAGGTGGGGTGGGTGGGTAGGGAGGGAGCTTGTGTAAATTTAAGATCCACCAAGTAAAGCAACATGGTGCGCTATTATAATTTTTTTTATTATAATTTTTTAATTTCTACACACGGTTCCTTAAGTATTTATGTTTGGTTTACTATGTATGCTTTATAATGTTTAGTTTATTAATTAATTAAGAGCAATGCTTATCAATTAACATTGCATTAGCAGATTTTGTATGTTAATTTAATTAATTAACTTCAAATAGAATATAGCATACAGTGTAGAAAAGGATTTTTACCATAAGATTTAAAAAAAAGTTTTTTTTAAATATTCTAAAATGTAGTAGTAATCAAAAAGACTTACTGCTTTTTTAACTTGGCTTTATAAGTGAGAGCCATCATGGCTGTACCATAGGAGACAATTGTTGCTGCAGCTGTTACCAGGTTCAAGGTCGTTGGAATGTTTATCACAGTCTACAAAGAGAAAAAACAACAAAAAATAATTGTGTACAACACACATTTATAAATATATGTATTTTTTTCAAACTATCATCTCCAGAATCAAAAATACTTTTTAAATTCTACAGAACAAGATGTGGTAATTTTTTTTTTAAGACAATACATTTTTTTTAAAGTGAGTAAACAAAAATATGTTAAGCTAGAAAGAAAAATGCAACACAAAATTTGTTACAAACAATAATTCTAAAATTTTAATTTTGGCTAGTAAAGCAATGCTATAATCTTAGTTTATGTAGGCAGAAATAGTTTTTAAATCTTACTTTTCTGTCGACTACACAAAATTCTGAAGCCCCAGCAGAAGACCCAGCAAAACTCAGAAAAATAACTCGGTCACCATTTTTTAAATCACCCACATCAGAACCAACCTCAACCACCTTTCCAGAGAGCTCTGAACCTAGGACAGAATGTAAGAATTAATTTAAAAAAAAAACATTGAAGCAATAACTCTCTTAAATTCATATCAAGTAAAGAACATGTACAATGTAGTGAAAGTTTTTTAAAATGGCAACAACTCTTAAACATCAGTGGTTGCAAAAAAAGATAAAGTGAAAACTAGAATTGGAAACATTAAATATCTTTGTAATTGCTTCCTGCTTAATTACAACAAATTACTTTTAGCTCAAACTAATGTCATCCACTCCAAAGGGGAGAGAACTTGTGTAAAAAGTTTTTGTATTCATGAGAATCTACTTCAGTATCAATTTCACTACAGTACCTGAAATAAATGGAGTTTTGCGACGATCCTGATACAGTCCCTTACTTATTAAAATGTCAGCAAAATTTACTCCCATGGCATGTGTGGCAATAAGCACCTGTAAATTTAATACAAACACATCACTGATTTGCTACTTGATTGAACTAATTTATTACACTTTATGCTGAACTTAACTAGATTATTTAATAGCATACAATTATGACAATGGTCAAACTAATCAGTCACTGTTACATAGGTCCAATATGAAAAAAGTTAAGAATGATAATAATAGATATGGCTTTGTCATCCATATATTTTCTTTTTCAAACCAGTCAGTTAAAACAAATAATGAAAATAGATACTGAAAATTATACCTAATGTGAAGTGAACACTAGCCCTCACCTTAATAAATATCATCCCTTCCATTACATTAAGGCAAATCTATGAAATAAAGTGCATCCCTATTAAATTCATAAACAAACCTCATTGCTTTTCAGCTCTGTAGGATAAGGGAATTCCTTAATGACTAGAGGCTGACCAAGTTTAGTACACACAGCAGCCTTATAGTTTTTTGAAGCAGAGGAAGCGCACTGAGATCTTGAAGGTTGATATGTTGATCCATACTGCGATGCTGTATATTTTCTGTTCAGAAGAACACAGAAAAAAATATTAACATAAATCACCATTTAAAATAACTTGTAAAATGAAAATTAAATGGTCTACCTGATGTGCCTAGCAACAAATCAAAGCCAGCGGTTAAGAGAAAAGAGTCGGGTATTCAAGAACAAAGTTAAAGGATCTATAAAATAACAAAACAATCTAACAATCATATTTTTGGCTGAGCCCATTTTAAGAAACAACTTAAAGTATTCAAATTAATTGTATATATTTGTATTTATCCTTATGCTAATAATCTATTACAGTTGAATCATATTTAGAAATTGACATACTACTTGTTAGAGGGGGGGGGGGAGTAGCTTTCACACATTCAGTTGAAAATTGGTTTGCAAATTTTTAAAATTAAAAATGATAAACTTTCTCCTTTATTTTACAGGAATAGCAGGAATTAGGTCAACTTCAGTGTTACTTCCAGACTTTTGTCTCCAGGGGTGCACTTGAAATTTTCGGGGGGGACGGGGGGGACGGACGACGACACACACTCAAATTAAATTTCCGGGGGGACGGACGACTCAAATTTCTGGGGGGGGGGGGCGGTCACTGTTAAAAGTATATATTTTCTATATAAATTCCGTTTCGTTCGGGGGCGGTAGACTTTCTTCGAAGAGATGCCTGGAAGAAACTGGTCAAATTTCTGTTCAATTTTCATGTCAAAGCCAGTCAAAAGAATTATGAAATATATAAAATAATCAATAGGTTAATTAGTAGAAATGATCAAACAAAATCATCTGATGTACAGCATTGGCATGTTAATAGACTATTTAGATTGGAATCACCAAAGAAAGATAAAGAAAAAAACTAAGAAACTATGCACATTCTAATAATTATGTAGGCCAAAAACAAAGTTGGAAAAAGTCAATTGTTAGTGAGCTGTGATGCACAAGCAGTCAGTCTAAAATATATATCAAATTCAATGTACACAAATCTAATATATTAAGCTTGAATTGGCTTAAATTAAATGGACTCAGTGTCTCCCTATGGTGTGGATTTGTGGAAAAAAAGTGCATAAAGAATCAAGTAAAAAACTTAACTTGATCACCATTGTATGAATTTTTTTTTAATTGTTAATTTTTAGTCCTAAAAAAATTATTTTATCAGGAAAAAATATCATAGAAATAACTTCCCTTGAGCGAGATAAATGACTCAAAATTAAATTAAAATATCAGAAAAAAATTACTTCTGTTTAGTTTGTTTTCATGCTGGAAAAACTATACACAATTTTCATGCATTGATAAAATCAAGTGAAAGTGCTATGAGCTATGTAATAAAATGTATTAGGCCTATAAAATAAATATAAAATTATGTAAATCTATGAAATAGGTATTATGTATGTATGTATGTGTAGATTACCTACGGTAGTAAGTTAGTTAAGACAGTTAATTTTGTAATTACTTACTTAATACTTATTAGTATTACTCTTAACTCAGTTAAGACTTTAAGAGTAATAACTTTTAGTAATAAGTTAAATAAGTAACTTGGTAAGTTTACTAAGTACTAGATCTAGAAAATCTAGATCTAGATCTACAAACAAAACTTTAACTTTAACTTTAACAATGTAGATTCAAGAAGAGATCTTTCTAGTAAGTTAGTTAGTAGGCCTAAGTTATAGTAAGTATAGTATAAAGTATAAATTATAAAGTAAAAAGTAAAATATAAAGTGAGCCAAGCTCCAGCTTTTTTTAATTTTTAAAAATTTACTAATTATTCTTTTATTGATTTCTTACCCATATCGTATATACTGCCTAAGCAAAACTTCAGGTGGAGTTCGCAAAGCCATGTGAAACTGCTATTGTTGTCCACAGCACTTAGTGACTGTGATAGTTGTGATTAGTACTTTGGAGGTCTCCTTTCATTTTCCTGTAAAAGTTGAACTTTAACCTTGTTTGTTTATGGTTTTAACCGGTATTTACATATTCAACATGAATACTATACATGTTTAGGGAAAATAAGTTGCGAAAAGTTAATGTTATATTAAGAAAACATTTTTTTCCAAGGAACATGTATGGTGACTTACTCGCTTCGAGTTTTTTCAGATATGTATGGTATATATGTTGTGAGTGTAAACGCGGGTAGTTTTAAGTTTCAAATAAGGAAGAGTATTATTTTTCAAGGACCTTAGTCAACTTAGATCTCGAGATCTAGATAGGAGATTAGGCACTAGAGAGTCTACCATCCTAAGATCTAGATCTAGATCTAGCTAGATCATCTAACTGGCGTAAGAATTCGTAAGACAAATAATTAAAAGATTCTAGACTTTAGAAAGTAGTAGAAAGTCTTCTTAATTTTTAATCTTGCCATATAGGCCCCTATTAATTATTATTAATTTAATAATTAATTTGATACGTTGAGTCAGCATCAGACCAGTTGACATTGTCAACAGTTGAGTTGTGAGTGGTAGTCAGTAGGCTACTGCAGGGCCTACTGAGTACTACTAGATCTAGATCCACTAACTACAGTAACTAGATCTAGATCTAGATTTTGATTTCTATTATTAGGCTGTAGTATTATTAGGCCTACCAATAAATCAATATTTTTAAAAAAACTGCAATTTTGAGGGAGGTTAAAGTGTAGGCTTCGGTGTAATTGTAATTTTAGTGGTGGGGAGGTAAAAATCTTCAAAAAAGCATATTCTAACCTAAGACCTAATGTTACTAATGTATAATAAATGTTTGATAATTTAGTTAACCTAACACTAACACTGAGTATACACTTGCAACATGTGTACTATTCATTTTAGGAAAAAACCTTGCAGCAAATCAATGTTTTGAAAACATTTTCCTAGCAAACATGTATAATGTACTATATATACTTATATAGCTACTAACCTGCTGCGATTTTTTTTTCTAGACATGTATAGTTTTAAGTTTTATTGTATAGTCTATAGCATACATGTTGCAAGTGTAAATGCGGTGTAAGGTCTTACTAAACGGAATATTTAACACCCTACTATCAGTTTTGACGTATACTTAACTTTGCTTTTTTATGTTCAATGTATATTGCATTGCAGATTTCAGTTCAGTAATCCAGTTGTCTTTCATGATTTTTATTTAATTTAGATGCAGTTATTCAAGTTATTGTCTGCTCAACTGTCACATATATTCTACAAACAGACCAAATCTGTGCTTCATCGCTGTCTTCATTTTTATTCTGCCAAAAGAGTTAGTCAGACAAAGATGCCTGCTATAAGAAAAGATTATGATGATTCTGTTCATGAAGAGCTGATTAAAGTTGGACAAGTAAAAACTCATGTTCTAAAAGTTGGGCAGTTAAGAGAACAGAGCGGCTCTCAGCGTGTACTCATGTTGATAATACCAGGTAGGCCAGTAAAAATTTTGTTCTTCATATCAAGGGTTTTAATTTCTGATGGTTATCTCATGAGTTTAAAATGTTGACAATACTTTTGTTTGTATTTATTTGTAGCAATCATGACGTAATCTTTGAAATTTTTAAATTAAATATTTATCTCTTTTAACTCACCATGCATTTAATTATTTTGACATAATTCAGGTAACCCGGGAGTACCACACTATTATGAAGACTTCATGCAAGAACTATATACTCACTGTGAAGGTCAGGTACCAGTTTGGGCCATCGGTCATGCTGGTCACCTACAAACTCCTGGAGACAGCTTGTCCATACAAAATATTTGTAAGTTGTTCTGCATATGTAAACAATTAGACACCAAATATAATACAATGTATTGGTCTCAGTTAATCTAACCTACACACACACATGTAAATATAAAGAAATTATACATATTTTTAAAAAATGAATTTATATATTTATATTTATTTATGTATACAAAATGTGTATTTATATACATAATTGTTTTTTCTTCTGACCAGGCTCTACACCTGAAGACATGTTTGGTCTAGAGGCCCAAATCAAGCACAAAGTTGATTTCATTAGGGAAAACATTCCATCTGATGTGTTGCTTGTTCTGATTGGTCACTCCATCGGCTGCTACATGATTCTGAATATGCTAGACCAACTGAACCGCAGCCAAGTTCTTCGATGCTTTATGCTCTTCCCAACAATAGAACGCATGGCCACATCCCCCAATGGTCTTCGAATGACTCCTGTGTTCAGATATTTACGCTGGCTTGTTGTTTTCACAGCGTTTATTCTGTCCTTCCTTCCAAATGTATTTAAACGCCATCTGTATAAATGGTGGTACAGACATGTTGACTATCCGCCATGCATGGAGAAAGCTATTCTGGAGACTATCACCCCCTGGACAGTCAACTACACAACATACCTGGCTAAACTGGAGATGAACAAAGTGACTTCACTACAAAAAGAGCTTATAAACAAACACAGTGAAAAATTGAGTCTGTATTATGGTGCAGTGGATCACTGGGCACCAGTTGAGTATTATTATGATCTTGTATCAGAGTTCCCAAAATTAGACGCACGCTTGTGCAACTTAAATCTAAAACATGCATTTGTTCTTGATACACAGGAAGGGAGAGAGATGGCTAAAATAGTTTGGCTGTGGGCTCAGTCGCACCATCATATGGTTTTATTTGAACACAATTCAGAAGAGGAAGAAGCCTGGGTATTTGATAACTGATTCCTTTTATGCATAAAAGTTATTTGTCTGTTGACAATGTTTTTGTATTTTTTTTACTTTTTTAAGTACCCTAAAAAACAAAGTTATTACCATTTTATAAATGTAAGCCTATTGCAGTTAAGTTAAATGACAATTCCAATTAGAATTGTATGTATCATGAATTGTTATAATGAGATATTTAAAGTATGAGTATTATGTTTATCTATTACATTATAATCAACCATGTCTTTCATTAAATTTAAGTTGTGCTTATGAAAATTATTTAATAAATTAATCTATATATGTATGCTAATTGTTTGTAAGTTTGCATGAGATTAGTATTAGGATTAGTTGATTAAAACATCATCATAGAACTATTAGGTAAGGGTAATTTACCAGAATGTAAGTATTTTTTACTGGTATGATCAAACAACTGGTGACTGGACTAGTCATTACATTCCCCTGACACAAAACAAATAACTCTAACAATGTTGTTCAACATCACTCTTTATTTTTATTCATCAAAACCTGTTTGAAAGTTAATTTGAAATATTCAACAAAAATTTAAAAGTAATAACTGTTACTGAAATATTGTCCTCATGACTCCAGTAAAAATGACAATAAAAACATTTAATGAATGGACATATTGGACAAAAATGAAATTTAACCATGGTCTTTGATATTTAAAAATAAAACAGTTTTCTTGTTAAATTGAACAATTACATTTTAAAAATGAAATCAAACAAAAAATAGTGACTGAAAAAGTAAGAGAAAACAAATCTAAGAACTTTATCCAACTTAAATTAATATTTTGTCTTTTTGTTAAAATGGAAAAAAATGCCTGAACAGTTAATATCATTTTTGTGTGTGTTTATAAACTGCTAGCGCCAGTATTTAATTTAATGAATTCATACCAATCAATGTAATGCATTAAACTAAAGCATTGCGTCTATCTAAATGAGATTTTTTTCTGTTGTTATGACATGTTTTCGAAGTAGAATAAATAGTTTTTATAATCAGATTGAAAGCAGTAATTGATAAGCCAAAAGTTTTCGTTGACACAATGAATTACAAATGAAATATTTAATGATAAAAACCTGTTCTACATTTATAAGAAGAAATGTAAATGCACCATTATATCAAAAGCATATTTAATTAAATAATTTATCATTTCTGACTATAAAGCCAAAAAATTTCAGCAAATCATTATCCAAATATAAAGGTTATGAAATCTTAGCTTTACTTCCATATGTTTTATTACTAATATCAATTTAAAATCATTCTTTATGTTACATAAAAATGATATAAGTAACAATTTTTTGCAGTTATAAATTTCATGACTTATAGTTTAGTTCTGGACAATTTTCTTTTTCTTAATGTCATCTTGATCAATTAAAAAAAATATTGTTAATGCCGCCTGGTTGTATATTAGGTAAAAAGCAGATTCATGAAACAACGTTGGAAAAACAATTCTGTAACAGTATCTGGAAATACAATTCTGTAACAGTATAGAAAATTTATAACCAGTTTTGAATAACTAGAAAACATATGAGGGAAATGTTACAAAAGTAAAACCATTTATTAATAACTTATTAATAATAGTGAGTACAAAATGATTACCGGGGCGTTTGAAAAATTTGTTCGAAAAATGTGTCCATTCACAACCTTGCTATAGACATACATTGTGAACAGTGTAAGCAACCAGCATTCAACAGTTTCCATGACTAGGGTTGTAATTGCTTATTCAAAAGACAATTTTCTTATGGCACACACCAAAGGTGAATTAAAATATGGATTTTCTTATCAATAAATAACTAAAAAGTAGGAATAGGGATCACCAGTAGGAAATGAGCCATCAGATCTAAGCGTGAGATAAAAAGTTTAAACAAGTAAAGGAACAATAATTCAATAGTCTGAGAACTAGAATTCTTATCACAAAAATTTGACTGCATGAGAGAGTATTAACAAAACGTTTGGATATGCCAGTAAGCTCCACATTGCCATATTGAGGGCGGCAGACAATTAACTCCTGATAAAGAAAGTGATAAGAACAAATTATTATTGCAATACATTTTTCTTAACATGGAACTTAGAACTAATGCTTTTTTTTTCTTAACATTTCCTATGCATATTGAAAATGTGCATAAAATCAGCATGTGAAGAAGATTAAAAATGACAGTAAATGATATCAAATTGTTAAAACTTACATTACATAAATCGCTTTTAAAACTTGCAAATCAAAACATGCATTTCTAATAAATTACAGTATATTGCAAGCTAATACTAATACATTTCCTATGATAACCTGTATATTTTAAGCAATATACAAAATGATTTAAATATATAGAACAAAATATTAAAAAGTATGACTAACCATAAACATAACATTTAATTTAAGTACATTATAAAATTGCACTAGCCTAACATTAGAAAGCCAGGAAGAGAAGCCGCATTACATTTTGTGTTCTTAATATACTTATAAAACAAAAAGTAAATATATAAAGTCTCCCTGAATGGTGAAAACCCAGAAGAAAATGTCATAAGTAACAAACAAACAATAGCACACATCTCTAGAACTGATGCTACTCATTCATATTTTGTCAAAGTAGATCTACATGGTTTTATAATGCCATTTAATAGAAATTTATTAGACATTTTTATTATTTAGACAATTTCAAGATAGTCAGTAGAAATTGAAAGCACTTACTGTTATGGTATTCCTCAATGCTAAATTTAGAGAGATACCTTAATACTTTATTTTTTTTCTTTGAAAATATACAAGTACTTTTTAAAAATTATTTTTGTACTTTGTATTTCAAAATGAGTTTAAAATGTTTGATTTCAAATATAATCCTTTTACAAAGCATTTTTTTAAGTACAAAACTGCAATACTGGCAAAAAGATCTCATTCAACATATTTATTCTATAATTTTGTAAATAGTTTAATAAGTACTTTTTAAATATATTTTACTGCATAATTGAGTAAAATTAACTTTATTTGCAAAAATAAAAATAAAAACTAAGATGCAGTTGCAGAGGAAACAATACTTAAGAAAAAGGTGTAGCAAACTTCAGGTGGTGTGTGCTCTGAAATAGTTTTGTACGGTAAATTTAAAAAGCAAGCTAATATTGATTATAAATACATAATATAAAACATACTACATATATGAGTGTCAAAAGCTGTACACTTTTACAAACTGATAAGTATAAAACAGAAAGAAGCTTTAAAAGTTGAAAAATACTGGGACTGTAGAAGTGTTATTTTAAAAACTCGCCTTCCCCTTATTTCCACAAAGCTGAAGTGGTAATACTATCAAAATATGCAGCAGCTAAAATCTCAGCTATACTTAAGCTAAAACTACATAAACAAGCACTGTGTGGAAAAGCTTTTTGGGGGCAAAACAAGACATATGCTCACAAAAAGGAACATTACACATTATTTTCAAAAAGTAAAATCCCAAATACTTACATTTAACAAAGTCAATTTGATGACTTATTTTGCCCTACAATAAATATAATTGTTATGCAGTGTGCTAATTTTGTATATTAATTAAAATAGTAGTAAATAGTTGTATATATGATACATTTTTATTTTCAAAAAGTAAATTAGTTATTTATTCTATGAAATGAAATAATACATAGTACTTAAATTTAAAAGAAGTTCTTTAAATTCAGTTCAAAGTCATGATCTTTGCTTATAAGGAGATATAAAAGTTTGTCTTCAAATAGCAAGTTAGAATTAATTGAAAGATACTTAACATAAAATAGGTGTACATTCAATGACTAAATAAGATTTTTTAAAAATCTTAATTAAAAAAGAAATTTTAATATTTTTTTCTGTACTTTGTATTATAAAAAAGAAATTTTTTTTAGTGAAAAATAGTTTTCTAAATAATGTAATTCACTGAGTATTTAATAAACGTGGCATTTCTCTTTTTCATTTAACAAAAGAAATGAAAAATAAAACTGCCAGTTTTATGATACAAGGCTTCTGTTTGAAATTAGCTAAATTATTCAATCTTAAAGGGGTCATCCATAAACAATGTCTCACAACACAACGTATTGTCCCATAGACCTTGGTTCACACCCAGCTCATGCACACATCATCACACAAGTCCAACCCCCCCCCCCCCCCCCTCATTAACATGTGTGACATAATTTGTGGACAAACCCATACTATTAAAACATTTCATGAATTTTTATAAATATAATTCCAACACTCTGGTTCTTCCCTCATTTTGGAAAACAAAAATAGCAGAAACCAATGATGATAATAAAGAAGCATATGATAGCTTGGAGTAAATGAGCTACAAAGCAGGATATTACAAAGTTACTGACATAGCAGTGGTTCTATTGGTACTGAGCAGCGAAGTCCTCTCTGACAAGGCTCTCCTAAAGCTGTCACGCTTCCATCCATAAATAATGCTGTTAAATATACCTTGTAGTGGGCCTGCCACGGCCTATTAAATAATGTAAATAACATTCAGTTACAGTTAAAAAAATGATTCAAAGGAGGAAGAAAAGAAAACATGTCAAGGGATAAAATTCTTTACTGTATAAAATGCACCAGTCAATAGATGCAACTAAGGTATTTAGGGGTAAAATTAGGAAAAATAATTTCTTGATCAACTATGGGCTAAAATATTGAATAACATAACACAGTAATGACTTACTAACATACTTTTGGTGGAATGGATCATCTACTACTACAGCACTCCCTTTTACCGGGAAAGGGGAAGCTGGCATAAAATGTGAGAGGGGGAGGGGTGTAATGATGTCAGTGTATTACACCATGTGTGTGAAGTAGAACATTTGCTCTATAAGACACACCTTGTAGGTAATAAAAGTGTCTTAAGGTGATAACAGTATGGTATATGATTGTAAAAAAATTAATTTCTTGATAATTCAATAATTTTTCATTAATTAATGAACAAGAGTTACCTGCACAACAAGTAGCCAATAGAATTTGCCCATTAGGTAGTCACTAGTGAAAGACAAGACTCCCAACACAATAGCTGGGGAAAATGTGAAATAATTGATACACAAATAGTACATAAATCCACAGGAAAACATGAAATAATTTCTATGCAAATAATACATAAATCAACAGGAAAATTTCTATTAATTGATACACTAATGGTAAATGAATAAACAGGAAAATGTAAAATAATTGTTACACAAATGGTACATGATTAAACAAAGAAAGAGAATATATTTAAAACGAAAGATTCAACAAATTAGTTCCCTTACTTGGCAACCAGCAAAAAAAGAAGACACCCTGATATAACATGGCTTTTTTCTTCAAAAGACTTTCCTCCTGTCTTTGGTGATAGCTAAGCAGTCCTGCAAATATAGAACTTTATATTTGAAAATAATCTTTTTAGTAAGACTAATAAGTTTATATAAGAATGAGTATTGGGAACAGCCTGCTGTGTTTAGTTTATGGCATAGTTTCTTTCATGCATCTCTTTTGGGAGGTGTTGGGGGGGGGGGGGGGGAAGTAAAGTATAAAAATGTGTGAAAAAATCCTTAGTTTACAGGGTAGCTGGTAAGTAGGTCAATAAACAGTTTTACAGCTCATGCAGGTTTTATTGAGCCGTAGAACTGCTTGGTGACCTACTTACCAGCCCTATAATCAATGGCTAATGTTTAGAAAAATCAAGATAAAGATAAAAAACAACAAAAGGATATATAGTGCATTCAGTACCTCTCCTCATGGCAACTTGCTTGAACACTTTTGTTATTAACACATACAATATCTGAGAATATTAAAGTAGCAAGATTGATAAAAAAACTAAAAAACGAAGTTTAATGGGTCTTAAAAAATAGAGTGGCTGCCCCTGGAAGTAGAGGAATTAGGTCCACTATTTAATTACAATTGATAAAATTATTAAAAATTAATTAAATTATAAGGTCAATACACTTATAAATAGTTTAATTAACATAAAGAGGAGACAAAAAAGATGTTATAACTAATACTAAACAAACAATAAAGAATCTATAATTTTCACTGAACTTTGTTGTGTTATAGTATACACAACACACATTTATGAATACTTTTTTAGCTTTCAGTAAAAGACCAGAACATCTAGCAAGTAAACAAGACATTCTGAGCAGAGGTGAAGACACTTCAGTAATTATCTTAACAACTCACTTCATTTAAGTACTATACTATATATAAAAAAAAAACATACCATGTTTAAAATAAGTACCAGCATTAAGGGAATTAGAAACATTAACTTGATTGCAGTATGCCACATCTGGCCTTCGTCTACCTGCACCTGTACATTACACAATCATAATTTATGCTAATTTATTTTAGCTTCAAACATTTAAAAAAAAATTCATCAGTTGTTTATTTTTTAAATACATATAATCAGAAATATGACACATCAATTACCTCAGGACAGTAAAAAATAATAACTAAGCTATTGGAATAAATATTGATTGAATTTCATACACTTTTTAAAATCAGCACATGGTGTCACTTAAAAACTTCAGAAAACAAATTGTAAAAAGTAGTTAAAATGGGAGGTGGGGGGGGGGGGTGTAAAAAATCAAACAGACTTACCCAGCAGTCATCCTCATTAAACCAGAAAACAGCAAAACATCTGAAACAAAAGATAGAAAAAAATCCTAATCTTTTAGTATTTTAACAGTGAAATGGTTAGAAAATGTTATGCATATAAAGACTCGATAAAAAATAAGTTTATAGCAGAACACTACACAAGTACTAAATAACAGGGCCAAATAGGCTGAAAGAAGGTTAGGTTGATAGAGTTGAAAATACAACTGCACAAGAACTCTAAGTTGGTCTTTTAGCTAAGGCTAGGTGTAATAAAGGGGGAGGATAATAGGACTTAATATGCAGAGGCAAAATGGAGCTCCACTTCATCTAAACTTATGGTCTGAAAAGAGCAACTTTTCTTTTTGCATTGTAACTATGAGGGTAAAGGGGGGGGATGATGGGTGGGGGGGGGGGGAGTTGATTACAAATTATTTCTGCTTAGTAATTTAAAAAAAAAAACCATGCTTACGATGAGCACTGGTCAGTAATGATTGGGGTCGGGATGGGTTCCAGGGCTGCAGAGTCATCTTTATCCCGCAAGTTACCAGTCACCAGCATCAAAACTACAGCTAACACCACTGGCACCAACCTGTAAACACATTACTCTGTTAGAAACTTCATGCAGGATTTATCAATTGTGGCAAAACAAATCAGCTAGCACAATAGTAATTTCTAATTTTAAAGCTTGATAATTGTGTAAAATAAGAAGCAGCTTTGTATTTTTTAGGAGACATAATAAAAATTGGATGAGAAGTCAAGAACAAAAACTGTGATTTAAAACTATTTTAAATAAAATTTAGAACCTTTTCTAGAATTGATTTTAAAAGTATATATCCCTGGGTAAGTATTAATTTTTAAATCAATTCTATGCAACCAAGAGTCAATCTAAATGTCTAGGATAATTTCTGCCATTTTTTTAGCAGCTCAAAATGCCTGGTTTTAACTAGTTTATTTGTTTACAGTAGAAAATATCTCCTCATACCAAGCCAAGGAGTACGCTAAATACATCCACTTGTTGCTGACTGCTTGAACCTGGTGAACAAAACAACAACTGTTACATAAACAGTCAACTATCATTACATAAACAGTTAACTATCATTATATAAACAGTCAACTATCATTACATGAACAGTCAACTATCATTACATAAACAGTCAATTATAATTATATAAACAGTCAACTATCATTACATGAACAGTCAATTATCATTACATAAACAGTCAACTATCATTACATAAACAGTCAACTATCATTATATAAACAGTCAACTATCATTATATAAACAGTCAATTATTATTACATATTCAGTCAACTATCATTATATAAACAGTCAACTATCATTACATAAACAGTCAACTATCATTACATAAACAGTCAACTATCATTATATAAACAGTCAACTATCATTATATAAACAGTCAATTATTATTACATAGTCAGTTAACTATCATTATATAAACAGTCAATTATTATTACATATTCAGTCAACTATCATTACATGAACAGTCAACTATCATTACATAAACAGTCAACTATCATTACATAAACAGGGGGCCGTGGTCGAGTCGGTAAAGCTCATGGTTGCTAAACCGAAAAGTCTCGAGTTCGAACCCTCGGGCAGATGAGGCTCGTTAGCTGGGGACAGCCACTCTTCTAGGAGAGACAACTCCAAAATTAAACAACTGCTGCCTTGTAGTTTGTTCTTGGTTGGACAAAGGCTATGGAAGCAAATCCAAAAAAGAAAAGCAGGCTGAAATCAGAGTCAATGGCCTCAATGGCGCATAACCAGTTGACACGTGACGCTTAATTGTGTTTGGAGGCGTGGTCGAGTCGGCAAAAAGCTCATGTTTGATAAATTCGAACAAAGTCTCGAGTTCAAATCCACTGGCAGATAAATCTCGATCCCCTTCAACACTAATAATTAAGAACGAAGAAGAAGAAGAAGATTACATAAACTGTCAACTATCATTACATAAACAGTCAACTAGCATTGTATAAACAGTGAACTATTATTACATAAATAGTCAACTATCATTACATATACAGTCAACTATCATTATATAAATAATCAATTATCATTAAATATGCAGTCAACTATTATTAAATAAAAAGTCAACTATCATTATATAAACACTCAATTATCATTAAATATGCAGTCAACTATTATTAAATAAACAGTCAACTATCACTACATAAACAGTCAACTATCATTAAGTATCAATTGTCATTTTACAAACAAAGTCATCTTTGATTGCCCTACATCTCAAGTGAACTCTAATTTTATTTTATTACAAAGCTAATTAAAATGAAAAAATAAACTCATTCACAAGTACATAAGGCTAATCGGTAAAATAAAAGATCCAGCTTTGAGTGCTAAAATGATAGAAATGCCTTATCCTCAAAAGTAAACAAGAATTCTAAAATATTTGATTTTGAATTTAATTTAGATTAAAAGTAATACATACAGCCATCAGATCCAAGTTCATTCCATCTGTAAGTCGTCTTCGAAATCTGAACAATGCTTCCAACGCATAAGTTATGGTGAGGAAAAATGCTATTGTGTATGAACACTAGAAGAAACAAAAATGTATGTAAAAACAAAAAAATAACTTTTTTATCTCTATAATACTATTAAGCAAATTTATATTTCTATCTAACTTAGATAGTATGTTTTTTTTCATTAAAAAACTTAACAAAACTGGTCGTAAATAATATTAAACATAATTATTTTTTGACATAATATCAAAACTGAATAATTCTCTCCATTTTTATTTTGTAAAAATTATTATAGTATTTAATTACTATTTTATATTATTTCAAGTTAATGAGAATTGATAAATTAAATACCGTCACTATTGTCATGATATAACCACAAGGTCCAGGGCTTCCTGGAAAGTTTATGTCATGTATGACCATATTTTTTAAAAATACTGAAGATCCAATTAAAAGGAAGAAAGATGATAGCATGTCCGCCAGTGATAGATGAAATGTAGGGAAGATCTGAGGAAAAAGTGAAAAAATTAATTTTTTAATGAAAGATGATATTTTAATTCAATCTATGATAAAATATGAGAAATTTTTAAAAAAGATTTTGCATTCAAAATATTGGATTGTAACTAGCAAAGATTACAACTTATTTATATTAAAATCACTTTTGTTAAACATTTTGCCAAATAACTATGAAAAATAAAAAAATTAAATGAGCTGCACTTTAATACAACAGACATTTGTCTCTATAAAAAATTTACCAAATGTGATTAAAATTGTTATGACATTTGTATAAGCCATTACATAAATTAAGTAAGAAAATCAAACATGACACAAAATTAATGAAATTAAATTATTAAACCACACTGTATCGCTCATACCTCAGGGTAACACACTCTCCCATGGTAAATTGCGCAGAAAAACACTGAGCCTGAACCAATGAAACTGTAAAAAAGAAGGCTTTTTATAAATCATTCTTTATTTGATATAGTAAAAGTAAATTAACCTGATTGGACTACAGTTAAACTAACAAATATTAAGCAAGTAATTAAAAGTTAACTAAAACAATACTCCAGTCACAATTGACGGAAAGCTTGTGTTAAGACTACATATCCGGGATGTGAGCCTTATGACAAAAGTAATAATAGGCCAAAAATGCAATTTTTGCAACATACGCTCTAATAAACAAGTCAGACTAACCTGAGACATGAAGTTACCAGACTAATGACAGATATTGCCCTCATCTGCAAGGTAGTAAAAAATTTAAAACTATATATGAGTCCATTTAAAATGACATAAATAACTGGTTATTGTTACCAATTGGTTTTATGATTTACTTAATTCGTTGGATTATCTGAATATCAATTTTTCTGTCACAACATGATTATTAGCCAAACACTGATAACTATAGGGCTGGTAAGTAGGTCACCAACCAGTTCTAAGGCTCAATAAAACCTGCCCATGCCCATAGAACTGGTTGGTGACCTACTTACCAGCCCTATAAATCAGTACAAGACATAGCAGAAAATTAATCATTATCACAAATATCATTTTCTATTTTCTTTTTCCCTAACAACTTTGCTAACAAGAAATCAAGGAAATTTTTCAGGAATAAAAAATGTCAATTTTAGCTCAAAAGCAATCATTGAAATCAGTTTAGTAAACTTTAGTAAAATCAAAAACACTTTGTAAAAGATCTAGAACATGGGTTCCCAAACTGTGGGTCGCGACCCCCAGGGAAACAATGCGTACATTGCAAAATTTTTCTCTGTCATAAGTCTATGAAATCTTTAAAACAAAAACATCATTTTGAGACGGAACACACTAAAAAAGTTACGGTGTTCTCTCGTCAGCATGAAGCTAGTTGCAAATGTCAGAGACTTTATCGAACAGTGATTTTTCACCAAGAAAACACAGCATTAGTGCAAGCATCATATGAAGTCGCATTAGAAATTGCCCAGCAAAAAACTCACAAAATAGGAGAAAATCTCATCAAACCCAGCATGTTGAGGATGGTGAAATTAATTCTTGGGGATTCCAGTGCAGTAAAGATGCAACAAATATCTCTTTCTAACAATACTATTCAGCGGCATATAGCAGACATGTCAGTAGATGTTAAAGAACAAATTTTGAATAAAATCAAACTTCCACCATTGTTTGATGTTCAAGTTGATGAATCAACAGACGTGAGTTTGTGTTGGCAGTAGCTTATCTTTGTGAAATATATTCATTGAGATGAAAGCAAAGAGGAGTTGATATTTTGTAAAGATATCATGGAGAAAATAAATACGTTTTTTGAAACTGGATGATTAAATTGGGAAAACGGCTGTGGGGTTTATATGGATGGTGTGTCATGTTTGGGTCAAAATCAGGCTTTCAGAAAAGAAGTAAAAGATTTAGCTCCCTAACCAAGGGGAATCCACTGCATGGTTCACTGGTATGCCCTTGCCAGCAAGACTCTTCCGACTCCATTGCAAATAAAAGTCGTAATTTATATTAAATCTGGAGCCCTAAACACCCGTCTGTTTAGAGAACTGTGCAAACACATAAATAAATATCACGAGGTTCTGCTTTTTTACACTACAGTACGCTGGCTGTCAGAAGGAAATATTGTAAATCATGTTTTTTAATTGAAATATGAAATCAAGTTGTTCTTGGAAGTGCAAGGGAAACAAGACCTTTTGATATACTTTAACAACAAAGAGGGGTTGGAGTATCATACCCTGCAGATATATTCAAACATCAACATAAGCTTAACCTGAAGCTTCTGGGAAAATGAAAGAATATCTCTTTTCATGATAATCTCTTGGCATTTTTATCAAAGCTGCAAAATTGGCGAAGAAAAATAAATATTGGAAATATTGGCATGTTCAAGATAAGAAACTCTGCAGTGTGGTAGATAAACCTGAATTAGAAAGAGGATTCTGGTCTGAGTATCTCGAATCTCTCGAAAATGAACGGCTGTGTTATTTTCCCTTAAAATCTTAGTAATACTAGCTACTTAAATTACTTAATAGTAGTTGGTTACAGTATGACAGTATGAGTCTTCAGTCTACTTCAGTATAGTAATAGTAATAGACTAGTATTACTCGTATTTTTTATTAGTATCTTTACTTTAAATAATCCTTTTTTTGCAATAAAGGATGGTAATTGAATTGGTAGCCTGTTAAAATAAAATATTATAGATTAAGATTAGAAAAAAGCACAAAAAAGTCACTAAGATTTTTAAAAAGAATCAAGAAACTTTCTAGGGGAAAGACTAAAGTGATCAACCAAGGCAATAACCACATACATCCCACTTTCAGTGTGAGTGCAGCTAGATCTAGGTGATTGATTGGGTGCTAACCTGATCATTAGAGAGCAGCTCAATAGTAGTTGAGTTCATGGTGCCTAGCCTAGATTGTACTTTTGTACACACTGGATCTAAATAAAAATTGGAGAGATATAAGCTGTCGCTTTCATTTTCAAAATTGATCTTTATACAATTATAAATAGTAGACTAGAATTGACTACATCCAGCCTAGATTAAGATCCAGCTAGATCTAGCATTCTAGTGCCATTTAACTTCACTACCATCTTCCTGGAAGGTTTAATTTTTCGTATTTAAAAATTTCTGGCCGACTTTTTACAGTTACTTAGTCACGTGAAACTATTTACATAACAAAAAAAATCATTCATTTCTAGACTGATCTCGATTCTGGAAATAGATCTAAAAAATATAACAAACTTAAAAAATGCAGCATATATTACATATAAACTACATTTTAAAATTATTTTTTAAATCAAATTTCTAAACACTCTTTAGCATGATTAATTAATTTAAGATAAATATTAATTAATTTTAGTACCTGCTCGAGTGCTCGAGTTATGTACCCTGTTTCCAATACCAACAAGAGAAAATATACACCGGACTACCACACATAGTCGCTGAGGCAGTTAAAGGTTGGAAGAAGTGTCATTTTGATTTTAAAATAAAAACTATGGATGCTTCACAACAGGTGAGAGGATATTTAAAAAAAAAATAGCATATTAATTTAAAAAATAAAACACCCTCGTCCGAAACTCGCACTCGTCCGAGTCGTCGTCCTCAGCCGACAGCTCGGAAAACAGCAGTCAGCACCATCATCATTGTGAACATGTATGATGTAGGCCTATCGTCTGTTGATAAACATTAATTATGAATTAAAATTTAAATCCATAAACCTAGAAACTAGATCTAGAATCTTGTTTCTATTTATTGAATATTAATAGATCTATATAATATTCACACTATTATTTTCTTACTCTTTTATTACAAAATTGTTGCATAATCAAGTATTTTTATATTTTTATTAATCAATATTCAATTAGCTGTTAGTAATAGTAGTGTTAGGCCAATTTAATATCAATTTTTGAAATGCAATTAATGCTTACTTTAAAAAAAATTATACTTTGAGTTTTATTGATATTTTAAATATTTTTATATATTACGAGCCGACCCGCTGCGTATCATACGCCGCTATTTAGTTGTTTTTTTTTCTACTTTTCAGTAATTTATAATTTGTGAATTCGACAGTACCAATGCTGCCACTGAAAATATTTGCTTAAAAACACTAACCCCCCCCCCCCCCCACGTGAAAGCAGCCTCCTCTTAGTTACCTCCTCTAAGTTTAAAATCGTTTCAAACTAAATTATCTGCCCCTAATAGCCGTCACCAAACCCGTCTCTATGATTGTAAAATGTAAACAGAGTGAACACCGCTCACCAGATCATGTGGGGGTGGGGGTGGCAGTGATAGTGATACAGAGGAAGAGAGGGGACTGCAAAGGCGCGCTTGCAGCTTGTTTTCTAACTGATCCAAGAAGAGAATTATATATATAGATATTATATTAATGTTCAACCAAATTAAAAATTATCCAATAAGTCCAATAACTCAATAACCATATCTCTCTAATTATTTACTATCTTAAAGTTTATAGGTTGCTTTATCATTCTTAGCCAATAAATTACATTAGTGATTATCCTTAACATAAATCTGGCCTCTTCATATAAAGAAACACATTGCAATTTATAATAATTACTATTTATAATGCTTTCAATAGACCTACTTCATATTGTTTTAATTAACTTAAGAGTCTTAATCCTTAGCAGGCCTACTTTTTAACATAACAAATTAGTAAAACTAAGAGATAATCAAATTGAACAAGAAAAGATTGCCAAAGCAGAGGCGTAGCGAGGGGGGGGGGGGGGGGGCGCCAAAATGGGTTGGAAAAATAAATTGAAAGGGGGAGGGGGAGGTGGGGTGCAAATCGGAATCTTGATGGGGGGTGTAAATCAAAAGTTTGTCCCTGGGCGCCGGGAAGGGTCGCTACGCCTCTGTGCCAAAGTGAATATAAAAACTACTATCTGCCTTAAGCTAACAAGCAAATGTGTATTCCCACTATAGCTAGGGCCTGGAGGAGTGCCAGTAAACGCTAGAACCTCAGAATACTACAGAACACAAGACCTACCACACAGATTTGAACACCCGTGTAAGTGTGTAGCGGAGGCTGGTTATTCTAGCTTGTCATATAGGTGTTACACCTGGCTTTTTTAAAGTGACAATACAATAGAGATGGGGTGAGGAAACTTAAATTATCAGATAAATAGTGTGGCATTACCTATGGACGAACCCTGAGATTTTTATTTATAAAATATTTAATTTAAGCTGTAAGCCTAGAAAGTTAACAAGTGTTTAGAATGAATGAAAAGGATATTTTAAAAATTTGAACAGATGTATTCAAGGGGTATGGCCAGAAGCAACAGAATCCCATGTACACGACAGAAGCTTCCAAATATGGATCTAAAGTTCCATCAGTACATGCGATGCCTCTATGTTTCCATGCTAAGTCACAGAAATTCTCCGATGTGAGTCATTTAGCCTATCAAACTTCAAATATTTCAAATGTAACTGTACATATCATGATTAAAATATTCCTCAGATTAAATACTAAATGGCTTTAAATTTTCTTTCCGCAGCATCTGGGAAAGTGTGGAATGCCACGGAACTTTTCACTTAATACATCTGTAGACAAAAGCATAGTCTGAGTCTAAAAATCTATTTGATACTTTTACAAAAAACTGGATTCAACCACATGATAACACTCAAATCACCTGCTTCGTTCTTTAGGAGTCATGTGCTGATTTTTTTGTAAAGAATTATCTATTAGCTAATATGATTTTGAAGTGTACAATTTTTAAAAGTTTATCTTTAACAGTGAAAGCTTTAGAAGGCTTATAATAACATCATCTTTATGTTTAAAAACAGTAAAATGAAGTATTTTCTTTGACATGACAAAAACAAATACAAACAATTCTGTTAAATAAAACCAATTCATAATAGCAGTATCAATTTTATTTCCCAATATTTACAAACCATTATCACAACAATGAATTGGCTCAAATATGAAACTTAATCAGACTAAAGATAACTGAAAATCTAGTAACATAAGTAACTTTAAAGATACCTTGATTAACTAGTTACAGTAAAGACCAGCTCAGTTATAAATTATAAACAATCACATCTTAATTTTTAAATGTATCAACGTAAAAAAAATAATTTTAATGGCAGTAAAGTTTTACATGAGTAAATGAACAACTTGTTCTGGTGTCCTTGGCACAATGTTTAAACTATCTTTGTAACCATTCAAAGGATCCAAAATTGCTTTGTAGATTTCCTTATAAGCTTGGCATACCAGTTCCACTGTTCTCTTTTTAGCTGATTCCCTGTAGAAATACAATGTGAAAATGTTTTTATTATAAACAGTCTTCTATAAAAGTATTGTTACTGCACAAATACATTTTTGTTAAAAGTTAAGCCCTTTGAAAAAAAAAAAAATATCAATTTCGACATAGAGTATCTGTGTATAAAAATGGTATAGGAGAAAACCAACCTGACACTTGAACTAAGTATAAAACTGCACTGTGGTAAAGTTAAACTATCTGGTTGGGCCAGATAACTGTCAAACTTGTTCTGTAAAAGAAAATAAATTCTTAACAAATAAATTAAAAATACATGAGAGGAAAAGATTATAAAACATTAAAAAAAAACTATCCCTTTCATTTTTTTTGTATGAGGTTTTATGTTAATCACTTGCTATGTTTACCACATATGTTGATGTAATAAATTAATTTAAGACTAAAAAATTGAATTTGGCTAACATTTTTAATGTTAAACATGGTGCTCATTTTCATATCCATATTGATCCTGGTAACTTAAGTATAAAAATCAATTTCTCCATAAAATTTTGGGTTCAACAAAGATTCTGGAAATTGCTTATGTTCATATAAAAATGTGAAAATGTCATGCCTACCATAGCAGATTTGATTGCTAACTCATCCAGCCCTGATATAGATGATAATGGACCCTAAAACATATGAGAATAAAATGTGACTCCATTCACTAAATAATGTTAACTGAATGCTTATTTTTTTACACTACTTTGATTAACTAATTCTTAATCTGTAACAGGCAAGGCAGATTCTTTTTACCTTTTCTGGCCGATGCTGTTGTATAGATCCATACATTTGTGCGAGTCCGACTCTATTTAAAATGTACGATGCTTGCTCACCAACAAGGGTATCCACATGAGCATCAGTCTGGAAGACAGACAGGTTATTTCAATAACAGCATTCACAAAACATTCATACAGTGGTTAAATTACTGCTTGTTTCAATAACAGCATTCATAAAACATTCTCACAGTGGTTAAGTTACTGCTTGTTTCAATAACAGCATTCACAAAACATTTATACAGTGATTAAATTACTGCTTGTTTCAATAACAGCATTCACAAAACATTCCTACAATGGTTAAATTACTGTTTGTTTTAATAACAGTATCCTACATTATAACAGTGATTAAATTACTGATTTCAGTAAACTTGAAGTAAATCTAGATGAACAAGACAACAAAACATATATACTGTACTCAGTTTTCAAAATGCACACAAACTGTCATAAAAAAGGCTCCATTGTAATTATTTTTTAAATAATTTATGAAAATCCAGTTTTTTAAAAGTGTTTATACATATTTAGATTTTAGCATTTTAACAAACCAATCAGTGACAGGCACAATAATCTACTATGTATGTAAAATTACTACAGCAAGGTCTCACCTGAGCATGCAACATCTCCAGTCTAGTATCAGTGAACTCATACAGCGCAAGAGTTGAGTTCATCAGATGGATACAGTTGACCATATACGCTGCCATATCTACAGTGGTCAGTCTGCTTGCTGAGACAGAACACATCTGGAGCAGTGGGTCGATGACACAAGCCAGGATCTGAAGTTGAAGGAGGTTATTTATTTAATGTTCAACAACCAATTTTAAACTTTCAGCTACAAGATGGTCAATCATCTACCTGTTTGTAGTCTTGCTTCTTGTCATCAATAGGAACAACAGAAGCGTCATGACAGGCCAGTACATCTCTCAGAAGCTGTAAAGTCTGAGTCAGTGATGCTGTAGGGCCTAGGTCTGATGGGGGAAGTTCAACCTAGTGGTACATTTTAGGTGAATTTTAGTTACATTAGTTAGCCAGCAATTTTAGTAACTGTTAAAAAATCTAACGTCTCACAAAAAATTTTGGATTTTTTTTTAATGATTGAGAAGGATTAACTAAGCGTAAGCTGAGTTGGTGATGATAAGTGATAAAAATAGTAACCTTGTCCAGTAACTTGTTTGCATGGCTAGTCAGGCTATTAAAAAACATGCGATGGCTGAGGTCCTGGATCTCTGCTATAACCAACAACAAGGCTGTCTCACTGCTGATTATCTGACTGGGGAGCAAAGGGAGAACACCAACATTAACTTTTTCTTCTATTTTACTACTTCTAATCAAACAGCTGCATCTTAACTATTACTGATTTTCAAACAATATTTGTGTGCGTTAGTATTATTCTCTTCCAAAAATACTGTATTATTTAAAATGAAAATATTTCATTAGAAATGTAATTTGGAAAATTTTTGTGTACAAGCAGAAGATAAACTTTCACCTGATAGTGTGGTGGTAAAATTTGAGCAAATTGTCCAGCTTGTATAGGGTAACAGGGTCTTGTTCTGATACCAAAACTTGCTCAACTCTCACCTGTTTAAATAGAAAACAGTTTTGGAAGTGATAAAAATACTGAAACACAAATCATAACTTTAGGATATATTATTAAAATAACAAATTACATGCTAACAGTCAATAAATGTAAAGAAAATATTCTCATGGGCTTAATTTTGTACATTATAAGTAGTTAAAAACCAATCTTTGATTTGAAGAATGAAAAAGGTGTACCTTAAATGGTGTACAAACTCCTTCAGTTATGTTTCCAAGAACATCATCCATTTGTACACTACTTTCTACAAAAAAGGATGAAGGTAAAAATTATAGGTTTAGCTATTCATTTTTGTTTTTAAACTTGGCATTTCATAAATGTGAGTCATCAATGCTACTTTAAGGGTACCTGTACAATTCTTGAGTAAAGATTGAAGATATTCTTTTTCTGAAGCCGAAGCTTGATGTAGCCATGCAAGCATATCACCAACATAACGCAGGGGATCATGGGAATGAAGTTCAATAGGTCTAGGCGTACCTCCGGGACCTTTTAAAAAAATTATATATATTGTTATAAAAGTAGTTTATTTCTCTACAGCTTACATAAACAATTTATTGTTTTTATCTTCTTTTTTTTGAGTTATCAATTATGTTAATGAAGATAGGATTATACTCAAAAGTAATTAAGGATGCCTAAACATAAACAATATACATTTTAAAATGTTAATTAAAGTGAAATAATCACTGTAAAACAAAATCTTTTAAAGTAGTTTTAGTTATACTATGCATATAAGTAATGGTGCTATTCAAACAGCATTGTGCCAGTAACTAACAACTTCTTATAGCAGAATTACCTCCCCTAGTCAATGCATCTATAAATCCTCGGACCACAGCACTTCTCCTGGCTTTACCAAATTCATCTAGTGAATACCTGACGCAGACAAATGTGTTGTTAAAAAAATATGCTCAACTCAATACCTGATGTTTGCTTTACATGACTGTCAGCACTACAAGTCAGGTAACAGCTGAGGTTTTGATATTGTAAATCTAACAAAATGGATGATTCATTGCTGTGCGTTTCCATTTAGTAGATAGGAAAGCAATGAAAGATAACATTACACTTTTGAACACTTTCCCCTAGATGTTAACTTCGATGCATAAAAACCATTTTAAATAACAGACTGAATACAAAATCAGTCCCACTTTATTCATTTACTTGTCTATCAATTATTTTAGTAAATCTAACACCTAAACATTAGCTGGGGATGAACACCTATCAAAAAAAATTTATGACTTTTACTTAGGGGACGTTGCTACCCCCTACAACCCCATGTTATCCATATGGATAAGGTACAGAGATAGCCACTGTTACTTGATTATCTGAAGCACTTTTTCATCTTTACTCCATCATTTTAATTCACTCAAAATAATATTCAGAATTGGTTTCCATTTGTTTTTACAATAATACTTTATACATTTAAATTATTGTATTCAACATCACTTAAAAACAGATCCAGTACTAGCTCTAATGTCAATGTTGAGTAAAAACATTAGCTGATGGACACAGCATCTCACAGCAAGACTGTTATGTTGCATACAATTATATGTACAGACTGTCAATATGTGGTGGAGTGTGTGAGATTAAAAAATATTGGTTTTGTCGGGTATGGGTTTTAAATACAATGACCGAAAAACAGTTCATTTGGTTCAAAAGGTTGAAACAATATTAATGGATTTTCTTGACATCTATTTAAAAAATATTCATTACTTACTTAAGTAATACAGGTCTATCCTGCAGAGCTTCAATAGCTTGGCAAAGCAAATAACTAACATCTGGTGTGTCCTGCGTCACTTGACGACACTGATCTAAATATAACATCAAAATAATGATTTAAACAATACATTTTTTTAATTAAGCCAATGCTTTTAAAAAAAAAAACAAGACAAATATTTTCCTTACTTTGTGTCCACCTGTATAACCTTTCATAGGCTGATTCTTGATGCAGGGCCATAGATTCCATTATTTCTAGGCTGTAATTGTAAACAAGTGGCAAACATTTTTAATGTTTATATAAAATAAGTATTCAACAAACTCATGGTAGGGATGTTAACTTAAAAGTACATCAGAGCTTCCCAGCATCTGTAAGTTAAGCAGTAGAATTTTAACACAGTGAATATATGATCTAGATAGAAAATAATTTACCCTGCAGTCTGATGATTTGTACGCAAAAGAAATTTACAGTCACTATGAATCTGCTTCACTCTAGTTAGTGCCTTGAAGAAATCCTAATTGGAAAAGAAAAATGAAATTCTGTGATACATTTTAAATATAGTACAAGTTTTAAAAGTGAACAAATACTAATGAACTTAGGCAACATGTTTTTTAAATTAAAAAAAAAAAGAAGAAATTACTGCATGCAGGGCACCATCCCTTGTTCCACGTAAAATTTTAATTTCTTCTGGTTTCAGCTGAAACTTATCCAAGAATGCATTAGCCACTTGCTCTTTTACTTGTAACTTTTGACTGGATAATACACATAAAACAGTTGTAAGCCAAAGGGTCCAGAGCACACATACAAATTATTTTAATTATATCTATTTACTATTTTAAAAACCATCCTAACCTTTCATTATGGAGGGAAGTAGTTTGGGATATAAGATGATTTGTTTTTGCTTTAGCAGCCTGAAATATAATAAAATATTTAATATTTAAAAATACATAAAACTGATTGGTAAGCCAGCAATAATGTGCAGAATGTCATGACCTAAGTGAATCTCAGCAATGTTAGATAATATTTGCATCAGACATGTAATATTTAGAAATTATTGTTTCCAATATTTCATCTCCTATTGAGAGTTAACTAACCAGCTTACAAATATATTGTATTTTAATAAATCAATAATTTTACTACACACATAATGTCACTAGCAATTCGCTTTACAAATTTAGTCCAACAGTCCAAATTTAATATTAAAAAGTTTTTTAAGAATACCTTTAGCCTATTTGTCATATCCTGGCAGCATTCATTCATTGCTTGAACATCACTGTAAACACTATCAAGTTGCTGTTTTGAGAAAAATATGATGCAATTATTATAAATGTACATTTGTGAACTAATTATGCCTTTATGAGTATTTAAAATCTAGACACAGTAAGCATACAGCTATGCCTGATGAATAGAAACATAAGCAAATTAAATTCATCTAAAAGTCGTAACTGAATGTTTTTATTTAATGAAAGTAACTTAAAAGTACATAAAAACAAAAATAAAACCCTTTAGAAAAAGCTTTTAAATGCACCAAAAGTAAGAAAATAAGTTACCATAGCTAAAATAATAAAAGCAGTGGTTGCTAAAATGCTATCAAGATTTATTTTTTCAAACAGTTATGCATGCTCAAGTTCATCCAACAGATTGCTATATAATTATTTCTCTTTGGTTAATGTATGTAGTAATCTTTATATTAGTTATTTAAAATAATTAATTCAATTAAAAATTAGATAAGCAGCCAGTATTATTAAAAATTTACTTATTTATAAAATTTGAAAGAAATTCCCATTATTCCCTCATAGGCCAAAACTTGAGTTATAAGATTTAATCACAAACTGACAGTCATTATGACCTAAGAAAAATACAGAACAATTTTAGAATTAAAAATTCAATACACACCTCTTTAACAACTTGAAAGGCTGTTAAAAATTCTTCATTAATTCCAAGGCTTCTTTTCTCAATATCACTTCGCAAGTTCCTCCTGCTGCGAAGATTATTTTCAGTAAAAAATGTTGATAAAGCCTTAAGAGCCTCAAGCATTTCCTGAAACATATCAATGAGATGCAGGTAAATAAGAGTGGATACAATAACCTTTTGCTACTTTAATGTTCTCTGCACTACAGTGTCAAATTTCAGTATAATAGGTTTTTTTTCTTATATATGACCACATTTTTTGCTGTTTCAACCACCACCCTTACGCAATCATTATAAAAAGTCAGACCCTCTCGAAACAACATCAAACGAACTTAAATAATTATGTGATAACAGACCTAACAAACATTTTTGTTTAAAGTTGACAGTGACAAAGCAGTCCTCAACCTTTTTTCCCATTTCCAATAAAATGTAGGTACAATACCTTTGTGATAGTGAAATATTTTTTTACTTCATTTCAAAGGATAGCTATGACTATATTCAATTATTTTTATTAATAACCATTTTTTTAAGGTTAATTACTTACATCATGTACTAAATTATCATCTCATTAGAGCATTAATTAAATCATTATTGCTTATGATAATGAAGGGTGATTACTTTACCAAGGCCAAAACACAAATAAATCAATTCCTTTTAAAAATATAAATGCTTAGGCCCTAACAAAGGCTGCAAATTTATAGGTTTAAATTTAAACATAAAAATCATTTTTCCTGTGGCTACACAACATAAAAATAGTTATAGGTTATTTAAATTAGATTGATTTTTCTATTATTGTTTTGTGTTTATATTTTAATCTTATTTATTAGCAAAAATCTCACTGGCAGATGGAGGCCCACCAGGGAGAAACTTTGTTCTGCAAGAGACTTAGTATATTAGTGAGTGATTTGATGATTTTGGGGAGGGGCATAATTACAAAACTGTCTCCTATCCTATAGTAATGGCACTATGTCTATGACAGTAATGTAATAGAATGCACTTGACTAAAGTAAAAGTTCGATTGATGGCATACATTTCTATGCAGAATAAAAATATTTTAAGATAAGATCCGGATGATGTCCGATAATAGACTCTTCCATAAAATAGGTGTGTTGGGTTGTTAGGACTAATTTTATCGTTATAAATTAGGGTTAGGCGTATGGTAGGACTAGGGTTGGGGTTACAGAAGGGTTAGCATTGACATTAGCCATCAATGTGTGTATTTAGTCTCAGTAAGCTAACGCCTAACACCCCTTTTTAAAAGAAAATTCTATTATCTGACACTGGTATAAAATTTTGGTAATCTATCGTTTTAGGTACGTACAATCGCCAGCGACTAGTAATGTGAAAAATGGAATTGAAACTTTTCAGTAATAAATGAAGACTAGCGATGTTTACATCAGATGCAACCATGCTCATTTACTATAGCAGCCATCTTGTTTAAGTTTTATTTTGTTAAAATTATAGTATAGCGGAAGATTCAGGGGAAGTTACTCTATTTTACAAATGGCTGCTGTTTATATAGCAAATCTTGCTCGCAAACACTGCTGTACTGTTTAATTGAAAGTTAATTTCTGGCCTATAGGCCTAGATATATTTAGCCATTGATTTTGGTTTGTTTAGTTATCTATAATTATTAATTAGGGCCTATAGGGCCTAATAATATTTGACACAAATATTTCACAATATACTTCTATTAAAGCCTTGACAATGAGGTAACTTTTTCATACATTACTAGCTGCGGCCGATTTTACGTAGATCTACCTAAAGAGATAGATTAGGCCTACCAAAAATTTCCCCCAAGATCTTAGGTCCTAGACCAGAAGTCAAGTCAAAACGAACAAAAAAAAATTGTTCAAAACTCCCACCTGAGCATCTGAAACTAAAGTAAAGTAGCTTGTACACAGTATGAGTGTAACACCAGTGTAACAGTGAAGTGAAATGGTTTATTTATTATTTATTATTTTACAGTTCTCAAACTTTTCCAAAACAAACACGTCTCACATCACAGTCCAACTACTAGAGAATCTAGATCTAAGACTAAGATCTCTGATCTAGATCTAGCCCAAACAAATGACATCCATCAACTACTTTAAGCCTCCGATTTCATATTATGTTTTAATGTATGTGTACTTACTTTATCATTGTCGAGGCGTGTTTCTAATATTTTATTTAACTTCCTTGAGAGTGGATTTGTAGCGGAAAGAGTAGAGACCTGATCTTTATCGTCTTTATCCGCCATGTTTGTTGACACGAAACAATAAACTAAATATCTAAATGTGTCAATTATCACTGTAAAGCACAATAGCATAATATTTTTAACATTAGTCTGTCCCCATTATATGATTATATGCTTTTTGTACAGACACTCTATCAAGCTAGTGAAACTTATGACAAAGGGGAGTAATTGTTAAAAGTACTGCCTTTTTGCTAAATAAGGAAAAAAGTGTTAGTATTGCATCTATAAAATATATTTTAAAATACATACCTACATTCGAACTATAGTTCTAGATCGAGCCCTCATTCTATAACTATAATAAGTCATAAGTGTTGTCCATATATTATTACAAAAAAGTTTATAGCAGATCTAGATCTATTAGGTTCGAATTGAAATAGCAAAAGGTCTGTACACGCTGGATTCCAGGATTATGCATCCATCATCACATATTTTCACGGTTCGATCACCCCCCCCCCCAAAAAAACATATCTTAGGGCGAGGATGGGGACTACTTCTACTGACACCTCTCAAACGAAATAGAAAAAAACACAATTAATATAGAAAATATTAACATATAGTTGAACCAGTGTCCGTTCCGTCCCGTCCCCCCCCCCCTCCAAAAATTAAAGTGCGCCCCCCCCCCCCCCCCAAAGGTACAAGTGTCACCAAACCCAGAAAAAAATCTCTCAAAGAAACACTGCTTAAAAATTGTCTTACCTCAGCCTACAATACCTCTTCCCCCCCCCCCCTTTTCACCTTCTAAAACTCACTGCTATAATTTAGGTTTTGTGCGTTTTTCGATGTTACGGGTTTTGCACTGTGTGTTTTCAAAAATTATTTAAAAATATACCTTTTAAAATTATCGAATCAATTAAAGGTCTAGATTCTACATAAAATGAAAGACCTATTTGTAACAATTTACAAAACTTTAAATCCAGGCCTGAGCAAGAGATGTTTTTCAAAATAAAGCTATACAGATCTATCAATCTTTGTACCTTTTTTTGTCTTCTATTTGTGAATAAAGTACAGGGACTGTCCTTTACTGTTGGTACTTGTAATTTATGGAATATAATGTTCAACTGGAAAACAAGAGCTGAACACATTGCAAATTTAGTAAAAAAAATTCTTTGGCCTTTACTTTTTAACTTAACGTTAAAATAAAATCATTATACTATAGAGTAGACTATAGAATCTAGTTTATTATAAACTTATGCTCAATCTAATGAATATATGCGACTAATATGTTATTATTATAAAAGCTATACATTTACATAGGCCAAAGCCACTATGATCTATCTGTCATCTGTGACTATCACTAACTGGCTAAGGCCTTGCTTCCTGATTGATAAATTCTAAACTAATACTCTATAAAGTGTAGGCCTATAAACTTAGTATAAAGTATTTTAGTCTATATTCACTGTCTGTATTCAATAGCCTGTAACAGTAGGCCTATACTATAGTATAATGAATGAATATAGATAGACATAATGTTTAGTCTTTATATTTCAGATTATAGCAAATGAAATCGATGTCATTGCATTTCAAGAAGTACGGATAACAAAAACAGCATATTCAACATTCTCACAGCTTGCTGTTTTCAAAAAGCATTTACCAGACTATAAATGGTCCCTGGCCAGATCTTCAGGTCTTGTCACAAACCCAAAAGAGGCATACTGGAATGCATGGACCGAAGAAGGTAGGTAGATTCTGTTTCTCTTCAATTAAAACATTTTTTATTTACCATATTTCAAAACTTAACTTGAATCATGAGGTTGCTTATAGTATAGAAATAAGTGAGTAAAGTTCCCCTTTCAAACCTGACGATCTATAGGGCAAGAGAAGTAGAGTTCACTTGTTTCTGTGACCTCGGCATATGAAGTAGTATGGTCAGCACTATGCCCAGCCGCCTTTACTTTACCTAATGTGAGTTAGGTACCAATCAGAGTTGGGTGGACTCAAGTACGGTCTACTGACTTGAACTCGGATTCAAACTTGAGACTTACAGGTTAGGAGTCCAGCTCTCTACCCCTAGACCACTCCATCCCCTATAGAAATAAGTTGGTCCGACGAATTAATTAAAAAGATTGACATTATATAGTCTATATTTTGATCTAGTTTTTTTCTCCATCAAAATACTTGCATCTTTTAAATACTTTTATAATTATTTCTACATTAAATTCCTTATTGTTCAATAGGACTTTTGGTAATTAAAGTTTATTGTAAATGTTTTATATATTTAACAGGCATTGGAATTCTAAGTCGCAAGCAAATCATATCATCAAGTGTTGTAAATCTTACAAAAACTGGTGGTGTTGACACAAATACACGAATTGGTCTTCATGCACAAATAAGGCTGGGTCTTGATGAAAAGGACATTTTTAATATGATAGTTGTTCACTTCTCTTATGACAAAGAGCAGCAGTGTCAAAATGCTGAGGATATTATTAAATACATAAGCAGTAGGTATAACTAAAAATTACTTAGTATATTAACATTGGTGATGACATGAAAAAAAGTAGTTAAAACATTGCAGTAGTTATATTTATAGAATTAATGATGTATTTTTCTGTACTGCTTAGGCTTACAGTTAACCAACGTAATTGTACTTGGGGATCTGAATGTTTATCCAAACTTTCCTGGGCCTGTTGACTTGTTCACATCAAAACGGCAGTCAACTTGTTTTTTAAAGAATCAAGGCCGTTCAGCTCAACACTATGGAACACTGAAAGATGCATGGCTTACCTCTAGAGACAAGCAAGAGCAAGGACTCACCTTTAGTAACATGGTAACCTCTGTTACTCTTGTTAGGTTTTTTAAATATAACAGTTGTATTTCTCACACAAATCTTACATATTATATAGATCTATTGATTCTAATGGAATCAAAATATTCGTTTTTAACTATTGAACTTCAGATAATGAGGTACTGCTGGTGTCAAAAAATTAACTTCTTAATTTTTTTCATTAGCCAGAGCCTGGACTGGTAAGTCGGCCAGACAGGATCCTGATATCAAGAAACATCAATACATCCTTCACTAAAACCACTGGAGATGGAGTGATCTATAAGAAACATTTTTACAGCTCTGTGATATTTAGTCGCTTCAAGCAGTTCATAGCAACATTAACAGATGCATTTTTTGGATGGAAGGGGTACCCCTGCCCACATGACTGTGGCCCTCATGGATCTTGTAGATGTGGTGTTTGTGTTACAGGAGGAAATCAAATTAACTGCAACATTCCTGATTGTTCTGAGTGTTATCCATACAAATTTGTTCTGTTTGTTAGTATAGTAATCCCCCTTGCTGTATCAGTTTGTACCATATTTTACTCAATCATTAAAATTTTAGTTGTATCAAGTAGATTTAACCAACAGGAAATTATGGATATTTTAGGCTACAGGTGTTGTCTATTTAACAAACAGTTATTTATGATACCAAGAAAGTATAAGATGAAGATAGATTTTTTTGGCTGTGTCAATTGCCCCCCTTTATACTAATGATTGTAATGTTATTGGCTACCTGCATTTTATTGGCTTTGTTTTATTATTTATTTACTGACAGCATTGATTTGATTTATTCCATTTTACCTGAAGAAATGTTTCCATCTGATCATTTAATTGTTTACACTCTGCTAGAAGTTTAGCTGCTGTGCCTTCCAGAAAATGCAATTATTTGAAATTAATATTATATCTAAGTAATTGAAGTTATAATCACTTGTTTTTAAATTGAATTGATATTTATACATACATTTTTTAAAACTATTTTACCATTGTTTCAAATGAAAATAAAGTACCTCTGTATTTTGATCATGTTATTTTTTCCAAGTGTATTTTGATCATGTCTATTTAAATTGATAGTTAATATAATTATTGATGAAATAAGATTTTAGCAATCATTTAACTATGGTGATTTGTTTAAAAAAAATAAAAGATATAATGAAACTTATAGGAACACAATTGAAACAACTAGAATGTACTGGTAGTATTATGTTGAATTTATTGATAGTTAAGCAGCACATCACAAGAATGTCTTGTTTACCCCAGAAAAAAAATATACTCACATATATTGCTTTTAACAACAACAAGCTTTAGTCTTAAAACCTTTTTGTGGAGTTTAGCATTAAAAAAATGTCAAGCTTAGTAAAGAAAATTTCTAAAAATGTTAAAGCATTTCTAAAAGTGTGAAGTCGAACAATACACAAACATTAAAATGTAAAAACATGCTTACACCTACATTACAACTACAGCAGGATAGAGATGTGCATTTTTCTTGGCACAAAGGGGAACCCAAGCAGAAGTATCTTTAACATGTATAATAAAAAAAACTTACATTAGAATGTACTAAAACCAAAACACAGTTTACACACACTTACTGGCAACTTGACTAGCTAACAGATCTTAAGTGAATTGTCAATTTTTGTAATCTGAATAACAAAAAAAATATTTTGAATGGTCCAAAAAACAATCACAATGAAAATTATTTTAAAATAATATTGGAGAACTAATGCAAATTCTTCCTTAAAACCTTTAGTTAATCATTCATGTACTCTTCTTCAACTTTCAAACTATGTGATCAATTAAAAAAATAATATCAATTATTTTATAAACAGACCATTATTACAAAATGATTCTTGTTACAAACACACGGGAGTAAAAAATCCAGCCACAAAAGCTGATAAAACTGTTAAATTTAACACTAACAGTTAGTAATATAAAACAAATGCAAGTTAAATATTTCTAGTTGGAGAAACAATTACAAGATATATTGCACAAAGGGTGGGGTAAAAAAAAATGTATTATACAAAGTTGTGATGGGACAAACATGCATGAACTGATGCAGTTCCTTTACTAGTTCACAGCCTGTCACATCAAACTATAGACAAGAAGGCAATCTTGAGTTAAAGTTTAGCATTCCTCTTGCACCGAGTTCATCAGGCAGGTGAGTTGGACAACAACTTGAGATCCAGAAATAATAGTCTACAGCTACTTATTTACAAGGTTTCTTTTTCATTCTTGCATACAATATTAAATTTCAAAATTGAGAAGCTAATTTTTGGCAAGATCATACATAAAAATAGTAACCCTAATTAAGATTTTAGTAGTTAAGCATTCTTCCAACATAAGTTGTGAATCGAAATTTTATTTTTTTAATTGAACACACATCTTCACCTATATATTGTATTGAAATAAAAATGTGTTCAACAAAATAAGATAGTTAAAAATGTTTTCTATGATAACAAAATTTACATTCATTGCTTTAAGTCTTAAAAGCTAGAGGTAAAATGGAAAAAAATCTTTTTTTAAAAAAACTAAAATCAATACAGATTTTTAAAAATTATAACAACAATGAAAATTAATCCTAATGGTAGAAAAGGCTTAAGATGAATTTTTTATAAGTTAACAAAAAAACCATAGTGTGTGATTTTGTAACCACCTTAATTGTTACCAAAGGAAATGGACAAAATATAACTTTAATAGAGAGAGATTTAAAACCAACAAACTTGCAGCTGTATTACACATGGATAAATGAAAAAATAAATCCTTTGCTCAAGTGTTAGATTTTAAAGTGATGTTAGCCCTTAAGCAAAAAGTTGAAAACCAAGGGCTCTGTACCACACACCTGCACATTTAAGTTGTAGTCCATCATCTCAAAAGAACAAAATAAAACAACTGCCATCCTTCATCAGCAGTTCTATATAAACTGGTCAGGCAACAGTCTAAGATGAAAGTATTAATGTAACATTCTGTCACTTTTTAAAAAGAGACACAAAAAAACAACACCAAAACTGGAATATTGTTTCATACATAAAATAATGCACATTGCTACCGAAAGTTTGAATTAAAATGTCTGAAGTCAACTCATTTAAATTGTGTAGCAACACTGACACATGTTCACAATCACTGTAGTTTGTGCTGTATTGTGAGGTAGGGTTGACCATCAGTAACAAGGCACATTATTTAAGTACCTTGGGTACCAAAAAAAAAAAAGATATATCAGACCATGTATACAACAAGCATTGTTAAATTACAATTGTTAAACAAAAATGTTTGTACTTCCCAAGAGAATGAAAGGAATAAGTATGGTAATATGTTGCATATAAACTTAGCTCAACATATTTAATATTAAAAATATTAAAACATACTTCTATACAAAATAATTTTTAATGCGTTCATTTCTTTAAATAATTTCACAGCCCTTAATTTAAAACAAGTGTTTTAAACGTAAATACATTTTTAAGATTATATTTTAATTTTTTTTAATCAAAGTAGGACAATTAAAATGCCGAATTAATTTGTGTAGTTTTTAATATCTAAATACAAAAATTACCACAATCCTAAGATAAAAAATACATGTTCTAAAAATGGAGCTATACAAGTTACTTTTCTAGAAAAAAAATCAGAGTATTTTAAAATTAAGGAACTTCTATTCTTACTTTTGAAAAATAACAATACTGATTTATTATCAAAGAGTAAATATTTCATAAACACACTACTTGAATAAGACAGTAGAATACATTTTACTACAAGATTTATACATAAATAAAAAATAAAAAGTTTAAATTGTTTCTTTTTATCTAAGTTAGCAAATAAGAGATCACTAACTTAAAATACATAATAATTTACCATGAATTTCACGTTTTTAAAAATTGCACATTTGATGCACATCAAGATTAAGTTGAATTATGATATTATGTGATCAAAAAATTAAACTGCTCAAGTATTTTTAATGAACTTAGTAAAGCAGCTAATTTGGCAAAAGTTGATTATTGTGCTAGTTCTCTGACTGTAATGGGTGTGTCACATTTCAAGCACCCTTTCAATCACAATAAATTTTTTAAAATGCACTCAACGGTCTCCTTTTTTACATGTCTAATTGTGGAGTAAATATCTAGGTTAAAAAAAAAACAACTCAACATTTGAATAACTTGCATTTCTCTCTCCCCTTTGCTTATTTAAATGCATATTACATTACTTTTACATTTTGTTGCTAAAACCACTTTGAGCTGCTGAAGATACATAGTCATCTGAGCAGCAAGACAGCAATCCAACAAAATTTATCTGGAAGACTGGTTGACATTTTCAAATCTAACACCAATGTGTACACCATATTTTGGGTAACAACAAACTAATGACAATAAATCTTTCAAATTACTGTTACTTACGTATTGTAAGAAAATTTTTAAAGTATTACTATAAATTCAATATAATTTTTCTGTAAAATAATAGACATGACTTAGTAAACTTTTAAATCACAAGTTTAAAAATATGTAAACAGCTTCTTTTGCTAATAAATAGTATTTGTATAAAGTGTTTACAAAGTTATCACACAGCACTGATTTTTAAATCAATCTTAAAATTTAGACTTTTTATACTGACAATAATATTTTCCAACTTGAAAAAAATGTATCATACAAATTTCAACCTTCTTGGTAATCAGTGCAAAGTTCTACAAATACTAATCATATACTAACAAGCAACTTAGTGTTACTTATAAACATTCCAAATTTGCATAAATATATCCAAATGAGAAAAAAAAAGGATTTATTAGTAATGTTAATAAAAAATTAAATGAGGATTATCAAGAAACTGAAAAAAAAATTAATGCTAGATTCCTAAGTTATACCTAAGCAAGCTTGTAATCTTCCTTTTCCCAACATTGTAATTTTCTATTTAAAAAAATGTTTTCAAAGTGAAAAAAAAATACAAGTTGATTGTACTTGTTACTATACTGATTTCTTGATACAAACAAAGCTTACCTGAAAATAAATATATTGATTGTAAAAAGTTTAAAATTTCACATCAATTCAGTGTGAATTTACAGATCTTCATGGAACAGCTGGGTTGCTAAAACATCTCCAGTGACGATAGTCTGGCAGCCGACAGTTGCAAACTTTTTTGTGCCGTCAGATTCTAAGCTGTTTACAAAGCTGTCAGAGCTGTTGCTGTTCTTCACCTGTCCCCTAGGGCTGTCCATCAGTACAGATCTATTCATGTACTGTCGTTCTGCCACCATTGAAACTTGAGGTGAAATGTCTCCATCATCATCACTGAAGTTCAGCTCATCTACGTCCTTCATTCCTTCAAGCTCTACATGATGGAAGTTCCAGACTGGAACCACACCTGCACCACTGGGAGCAGCGTCTTGAAAAGAATATTTGATCCCCCCAATATTCAGTGGGGTTGTGCTTGAAAACGTGCTGTCATCAAGATCTGGGTAAATTTTTCTTATTTCATCGTTCATATTACCAAGGGGTGTCTGAGGTTCCCTTGGTATACCATCAATAGGAAGGTCAAGTTTAGCTGCAACCTTTTCAATTAAATCTTCAATAGATTCATTCTCTTTCCAGACTTTTGTTGCCTTCCAACGAGCTCGGCTACCTTTGGGGGCAGGAACTGCATCAAAGAATACCCACTCACCAATTTTAAGGAGCTTGTTCAGATCATCAATATTCTTACCGAAAATTGTTCTGTCAATAAAGACATGTTCATGCATACCGAGGTCTATGATGCCCCACAGCTTAGCCACATGAAAAATCTGGCCCTTTCTACCACTGACAGAGGGCTTAGTTTGCACATGTGGCCTGCTTCCTGTAATTATGACATTTAATCTTGTGTTCTTAATCACTGAAACAACTTCATCTTCACCAATCGTGAAAATATTATCATGAGTTGAGATAAACTGGTGAAGTTCTGGCTTGCTCCAACCGATAGTGTTACGAAGACTTTCAGGAGCCTGACTAAAATGCCCTGATAGACTGTTAACTTTCATATCTCCTTTTTTCTGGATGATGCTCTTTATGAACATAACAGCTTTGTATTCATTTGCTGTCATTGTAACAGGACCCGCTTTAGTTGTTGCTGCAGTTACTGGTGCTGGAGCAACTGTAACAGTACGACCAGAAAGTGGCTTGGGTGCATCGGAAACATCCTGCGACTTTGGCCGACGTTTGATCTTTGGTGTAGTTGGCAACAGCACCGGTGGTTCAGAAGATGAATCTGTATCAGCAGCGTTGCAGCGGATGTTGTCTTTAAGGCATACATTGTCTTCTTTTACTTCGAAAATAAGTGGGTGTTTGAGCAAAAAAGTAAGAAACTCGTTCTGAGGCCCAACGCATTCTCTTATTTCTGGTGATGCTTGAGAAAGGTGCCCAGCTAAGCTCTTCACTGGCATCCACTTGTCTCCTTTCTTTAATATCTTCCCCCTAAAGAATTGAACAGCCTCTGTTTCAGTAGAGACATCAGGAAGACAAGAGTGGCCAGAGGACGAGGCAGGACTTGACTCTCGAAAATTCCCCCCAAGAGCAGTACCATCGTTGAGGCTGACCAGGTTACCATTTACAGAAAATAGGGAGGGATACTTCAAAAGAAACTTCTTGAGGCCAGCTTCATTTCCGCCAGCACTCTGTCGCATTTCTGAGGTAAAGTTGCGACTACCAAAGCGACCCGCTAGCTGACTAATACTCATTGGAGCATTACTATACATGAGAATCTCCAAAAAGTACAGCATAGCTTGGTGACCTGGATCGTCCGCCATCTTATTTATGAAAGCTTTAACAAAGCAAAATTAAAAAAGATGGGAATATAAGCTGAATGGATTATAATGAACTTCTTTTATAAATTTTATCTTTTTTTTTATAAATGATAATCCGCAATAAGTGATGACAAGAAGTTGGCTTTTGATCATCGAAACCGAAGCTTCTTCCCCCTAAAAATAAAAATAAAACAAAATTTTATTATTAATTTGCCTACATAAATGTGACACTGACAGTGCAAGTATTGGTTAACAGATATATCAGTGTACATTATAAATTGAATCAAATCTCAAGACTAATTAGGGTTTAAGTCTAATTAGGGTTTAAGGGTCTCACTAAAGTAACAAAGCCAAAACTAATAACCTCATAAAAACCGCTATTTACTTGGTTAGTCAACTTCAGGATTCATTTGTTTATAATATATCCAATAAGAAGGGTCTAGGACATTCCCCCCCCCCCGTCATTACCCCCCTGGTGAATTCCCCCTCCCCCCAAGTTTGAATCCTGACTGAGACTCTAACTCTGACTCTAACTCTACTAGATCTATTACCTTAATCATAACCTTAAAAAAAAAACCAAAACCTTAGCATTCACCTCAGCCGAAAACCCTATTAGAATAAATTTGAATAATTAGATCTAGAGTAAAGTTCCACGCGCGGTCACACATAGCGGAAAATTCCAAATTCCCGATTTTCATCGGGCGCTATTTTATAACCGTTTCACACAGAAACAAACCGAAAGCACTGTATTACTCCGCTGCCATTCTACTGTAATATGTATGAGTCATTTTGTATTCCTACGCATAGTATTTAAGATATTCATGTTTTAGTGACGTCCCTCCTTGCGATATTTTTTTTTCCCTTTTTTTTTTGCCTGCGTACGCAAGAACCTGCTTGCCAACGAGCGTATTGTATACGTTTTGATCCAATTTTAATAATTGAAATAAATATTTTACACACTTAAACGTGTTGTTGATTGTATTATTAATTAATAGATTGCAAAAATAATAATTAAAAACATGTTAATTAAATTAATTAAAGACATTAAAAGTTGACCCAGTGATGACTCAAGGGACGCAACTATAATAATCATAACAAAGGGACGTAACAACCACTAAAAGACATAACGTAACATTTGCTTAGATATGCTTGTATGTAGAGACACAAACTAGATTTAGAAGAAGTAGATGATCGAAATAATTTAAAACAGCAGAAAAAAATAGAAAGTATACAGATTCTAGGCTTAGTTTGAAATATAGAGCATCTAGAACTAGGCTAGTCTAGCTCAAGTCGTTGGTTACGCAGCGATGTGAAACCACCGTAATCGACACCCAAGCTGCGGCCACCCCTATTTACCTATCAGGTTGCTTTATTAGCCTTATCTATCGTATGTAAAGTGTCCCGCATATATTGTAGAAGCTATTTATAGTTAACCTAGTTATAAAAAGCTTTGATTGGTTGGTTTTATTCATCTCATCCGGGACCTAGTGTTTTTCATAGGGGGAACTAGAACCGCCTACGACGTCATACCTCGAAACTTTAAAATTTAAAAACTCGACTTCCAGAAGGAGAAAAACAAAAGAATTTGACCTGGATATATTTAGAAATGGACAGGTTTACAGCAGATATCGGTAGTTTCGTATAAAACATCAAAACAAATATTGTACGAAGCGATAAACAGGCGATGATCGCACCGGTGTTTTAACCGCGCGTGGAACTTTACTCTAGATCTAGAATCTAGAAACAGGGCATTCCTAACATTTTTGTGTGTTTCAGTTGTGTTTATAGTCATATACTAGTTTATAATAATAATAATAAAATAGTAAAATACGCTCAACTGAAGGTAAGCGTGAAGCGGGGAATAAAATACGCTAAAATGGAGTTTTACCCTAGATCTCTACTCTACACTCTACTAACTCTAGTCTACTCTACCCACCTACACATATTTGTGACTTTTTCCTACACTACAAAAATCTAGATCTAGAATCTAGATCTAGATCTAGATCTATATCTACAATTACAATCTTTTAAAAATTCTTTTAACACGTAGAATCTAGAAAATCTAAACTTTTAGAGTCTAAACTCTAGATCTACACTAGAGTCTACTACTAGAATCTAGATCTAATCTAAATCTAGATTTTCATGTATTTTATAAAAACATATAGAACGATGCTGAAGGCGCGCCTGATAGATCTATATGAAGGATTAAAACTTACTTTGTAAGTGGGCGAAAATAGCCTACAGCCTTACGAAAGTAGCCATCTTGGGAAGATATTTAACCCCGTAGCCAAAAGGGCACATGCACAAAATAAAATTTCCTCCATTCACCAAAGATCTGCTAAAAAAGCACTCTTTGAACTTGACTAGGCCTAGGCTTGTCTAGTCTACACAGTATGTGAGTCAGACTGTCAGGGTAGTAGCAAGTTTAAACTATGCTTTACGGTTACAGTACCAAATGCTCATATTTAAACCATTAGTAGGACCAAAAATTGTGCTACAGAATTTGACTTGGTACCTAAACTAAAACAAATAGGTGCTCAGTGAGTAAGAGCTACAATATTTGGCGTAGGCCTATTAGTAACTGTACGTAGTCTAGGCTACTTGAGGGGGGGGGGGGGCGGGGGGGGGGGGGAAGAGGTTAGGGGTTGAGGTTGGAAAACAAATCGGATTAGAAACCCTCTGTGGGCTTATGGGGTCGTCCATAAATGACGTCACACTCGTAGGGGGGAGGGGGGGTCCGTAATTTTGTGACGGTGTGTAATGAGGGGGGGGGGGGTCCACACTTTTGCATTATAAAAAAGCAATGTTAGAAAACGAGTTTTAGTCGTTATTTCGCGTTTTTCAAAACTGTTTTAATAAATCGCAATAGTAATTGATCAAAAGACTCTATGTTGACATAGTTCTGATAAGATTTTGGGAAAATATCGATGTTTTAAGAAAAAACTCAACAGCCATTTTGAGGGATGTTGTAGACTGAGGTGTGACGTCATTTTAGGGGGGGGGGGGTAAAAATCGACCAAAAAGCGAGACGTCATTTATGGATGACCCCAATAAAGTATGCTGATTAAGGGAAAACTTATAAAGGCGAATCGCGATTTGCATGGCCAAATTAATTAAGCGATTAGTTTCATAACTAACTTGATTAAGAAAATTATAAACTTTCCAAGTTATAAGAAGCAAACGAATGTGTAGACACACCAGTAATGACACAAAATGGACCGAATAATTGTCTTTGATGTGTTAAATGTTGGCTACATATCTATTAGATACGGGCATATATTACAATATTGTCAGTTTGTTTTACCCCAGCCTAAAATTAGGCATATCGTATAGTTCTAAAGCAAATATAATGGTGGCGTTAATGGAGAAAAATTGTAGAAATTTATGTAGCCTAAACCTGTCAGCAAGTCTAAGACATGCTGAGGCATATGACAACACTACGACATGCGTATGCGTTGCTGGATTTATCAACAAAAAAGTTATTTGGATTTTTATAAAAACGCCGATATAGCAAAACAGTAACACTGGGATTATTTTCCCCATGAGATAGTGTTGTGAGGGTCAAGGTTAATGACAGTCACGGATAGGATAGTCATTGATTAGGGTCAAGAACGATAGGTACGACCTAAATTTTTCATGGTTTTTTTTTATAAGCAAGTCGACAGAATAAGTAACCATTATGATCAATGATGATTTTGTAATGGTGATGTTTATTTTTTAAATCGAGTGTGGCTGCCTGATACAAATAATATTAATATGATACATTTATTTGTTTTAAATTATTCAGGATAATAAACTTGATTTTTCAACATCCTCTTATATATTTTTTTTCCTTTTGTAGAGCTATCATTTCTTTCTTTTTTTTTTTTTTTTTTTTTTTTTTAGTGAAAAAACTAAGTGGCACCTAGGTGTAGTGACGACAGAAAATGCAAAATGTCAAACATAAAAATGTAGAGTTAGTCTACGATTCTGACAAACATTGGCCAAAGTCACATGTAAACTTTAGAATCTGCACGGGGAAAAAACTGGCAATCTAGAACTGGCACACTCCAGTCACTAAAATATGATACAGTTACTTAATTATTTGGCGGGAAGTTAACGGTAGCGTGGCCGAGCGGTCTAAGGCGCTGGTTTTAGGCACCAGTCTCCTCGGAGGCGTGGGTTCGAATCCCACCGCTGCCATTTTTGTTGTTAGTAGGTGTCAAGAGATGACGTATCGGTTTTTTTTAAACCGATTATTAGAAACTAGAGTTCGTATATAAATGACGTCACACTCGTAGTAGGGAGGGGGTCTGTAATTTTGTGACGGTGTGTGATAAGGGGGAGGAGGTTCAGGTGTTGTGACTTCACTCACACTTTTGCATTGTAAAAAAAGCAATGTTAGAAAACAAATTTTAGCCGTTATTTCGCGTTTTAGAAAAATGTTTTAATAAATTGTAATAGAAATTGATTAAAATACTCTATGTTGACATAGTTCAGACAAGATTTTGGAAAAATATCGTGTTTTAAGAAAAAATATACTGCAGTTTTGAGGGGGGGGGGGGGGGGGGTTGTAGGCTGAGGTGTGACGTAATTTTAGGGAGGAGTATATCTTTCTGTGACGATGTGTGACGCAGGGGGGGGGGGGGGGTAAAAAAACGTCAAAAAAAGCGCGACGACATTTATGGATGACCCCCCCCCCCCACCCTAGATCTACCTCTTTCCCACCTTCGTCACAGAATGACATCCAACCCACCCCAAGTCTATCAACCCCTGAACAGCCATTTTACTTACATTACAACGTAATTTACATTTTAAACTTAAACTAGGCCTATTAAGCAGTGGCGTAGCGAGGTCGGGTGTCACCCGGTGCGGCACTTAATGGTGTCACCCCCCCAGAGGCATAGAGACCCTTCCCAGGGACAAACTTTCAAATTTTCGATTTGCACCCCCCCCCCCTCAAACTTTCGATTTGCACCCCCCCCCCCTCAAGTTTTCGATTTGCACCCCCCCCCCCTCAAACTTTCGATTTGCACCCCCCCCCTCGAGTTTTTCTCTATATATTTTGCTATTTTTTGCCTTGGTGTCACCCCCCTAAATGGTGTCACCCGGTGCGGTCCGCACCCCCCGCCCCCCCCCCCCCCCCCACGCTACGCCCCTGCTATTAAGTAATATTGCTAAAAATTTATTATATTGAAACAATTTTATCACACTTTTAAAAAGACGTCTTTAAAATTAATCTAATAGCTGCAATTCAGCTTTAAAAAACAGGACAACTTTCTGCTGATGAAGAAATTAGGAAAAGAAGCTGGGATTAAATAGGGCACAAACTACGTAGACCACTAACCAATATCACTATGAAGGCAGGTTGGGGTCCTATACTCCAGCAGAGTGGACGGGCAGTGATGTTGATCTTATTCTACGGTCACTTAGGCACTACAAACTGTAGTGAAATAGATTCTTAAATCTTCCATGATTTATTGCTATGTTGTCATCTTCAACTTGAAAGAAGAAATTATTATACCCTCTAATTTACTCTAAATATGATATAGAAAATCAAAAATATTATAAATATTTAAAAAATTCTACGTCTTCTAAATTACACATCTATATTAGTAAGTTAAGTTCCCTTTTTGAACTTGATGGTCCATGGGGCAAGTTCACCTGTTTCTATGACCTTTGCATAGTGTGGTCAGCACTATGTCCAGCCGCCTTTACTTTCCATGATGTGAGTTAGCTACCCATCAGAGCTGGGTGGACTCAGTGATGTTCTGCTGACTTGAACCTGGATTTGAATTCGCAGTATCACACATCTATATTAGACCAGGCCATAATTCTAAAAAATACATTACATTCTTTATATAATGTATTTTCTACATTTTTTTTATTCAATATGGTTAGAATTTTCATCTCCTGTCCTAAGTATTTAGTGCATTTTGGTGTCCAGTTAGTGTACTTACTATAGCAAAAATCATCACCAGGCCTATTCTATGTTTATTTTGTTTGCGTAATTGTCATTAGGGGGTCATCCATAAATGACGTCACGTTTTTATTGACAATTTTTACCTCCCCCCACCCCCCCCCCCCCCGTCACAAGTCGTCACAAAAAGCCAGACCCTCCCCCCTAAAATGACGTCACACCTCAGCCTAACCCCCCCCCCCCCCCCCTCAAAATTGCAGTTGAATATTTTTTTAAAACATCGATATTTTTTCTAAAATCTTGTCTGAACTCTGTCAAAATAGAGTATTTCAATCAATTTCTATTACAATTTATTAAAACAGTTTTCTAAAACGCGAAATAACGTCTAAAATTCGTTTTCTAACATTGCTTTTTTATAATGCAAAAGTATGACATCGCACCATCTGACCCTCCCCACACACTGTCACAAAATTACGGACCCCCTCCCCTCTTCGAGTGTGACGTCATTTATGGACGACACCTTACGGTTTTTTAAAAATCTTTTCCTTGATTAGTATTATACATACAATAAAGTTGCATAGCCCTGCTCAAACTTCCCAACCACAGAAAAATGAAAACACTGCAATCATTTAAGTGAGGTCTGACAGACTGAGTTCAAACAAATGGCAAGATAGTGTGTATAAATATGCAGGGATGGTAAGAAAAACAAATGTGGTAAACTCTGATATCATTTTCCTATAGGCCTATTTATTATTTATTGACAAAAAAAACAAAACTTTATTAAAAATACAAATGAACATTTATTTTGCACATAGGTCTACACGCTAATAAATCTAGAATACTGTGCATTATGGAACACAAGGCATTCACATAAAAAGTAAATATTTTATATTTTTTTAATAAATATAATTTTTTCAATGATCCGTTTTTAATATATTAAGTTAATCTTGTTAAAATGGAAAAAAAAATGGATGCACAATGAAACATTGATTGTCCGTGTTGCTTTATAAATAACTATCAACTTCCTTTTAGACTTCAAATGCATTCATTCACAGTTTTTTTTTCAGCAGTTAGTGTAGAACATATTTTGCTAAATTTTCATATAATAAATATAATTTTTCTAGGTTTGGTTTAATTTTGCAGTAATTCTTGCCTGACATTAAAAATAAGATGTTATTTTATACCAAGAGATGTACAGATAAATGGAAGTAGGTGTTCATGATTATCAAAAGAAAAATTAGGAAACGCATCAACATTATAATGTAATTTATTTTAAAATAAATAAATAGAATCTAAATTGTTGAAATCTAAACTATAAATTAAGAGCCCCTTAATAATTATAAGTTTTTATATTTAAATTTAGCCCAGTAATATTTAACATTCATACAAGAGAGAAATATCAATGTGACAATTCTTACGAGAGAGAAATATCAATGTGACAAAAACTGAAAATGTTTTTTTTACATCTAAAAAAAGAACATCCAGCTACACAATGACTGAGACGTTTACTGTAGCAATCAATATTACAAGAAATCAATAATCTTTGAATATAAAAACAAAACTTAATGTACGCAAAAATATATATTTGATTTAAATCCAGTAAGAATTGATGATTGTCTATTAACAAAATTGTCCTAAACTAAAAGTATTCAATTGAATACTACATTAAAAAATAATCAAAACTGACCTAATTTTGATCATTAGTACCTTGGTGTAGATATATTTTCATAAATTATCAAGTAAAAATGCCATAGAATTTTGAATTCTAGATTTGTTTTAATTGTATTTCAAGACAAAAGAAAATAATATTTTAAAAATATATGCATATAAAATATCTAATTCAATCAAGTGCATGTTTTATGTGTGCTCATGTTGAACAATGGACGGAAAAAACAATTTCAGTAGGAATAGAGTACATTTTCTTTTATCACAGTTTTGGGGTGTAAAATTTGTAAATCAAACAAAAATGTTAAAATAAGTTCTAAAATGTGAGCGACCATTCAAAAACAATTATTATCTTCATTTTAATAGGGTATACAGCAGTAACTTTACAGTAAAACTGAAAATTTATTAAAACAGTAAATTTTAAAATTCAATAAATAGTTACTTTATAAATAAATAAATATATATTTATTAAATATATATGTATATACATTTATAAATGTATATATGTATATATAAATATATAGTTTTTGTTCAGCAGTATTAATTTTTTTTTCATACAGAGTTTAAGTACTAAACATTTGATAAAACTAAACTACATATATTTAATCATTAGTGAAAAACATTATTTGTATTGATATATATATTTTTTAAGTTGGTAATAGTTGCAAAATAAAACCAATTCTTTTTTTAAAATCTAGTTACAGAAACATAATTTAATAAAAACGTACAAATAAAAACAGCAGTTTTTAAAAATGTTTTTACAATCAGGATTTTAGAAATAATTTTGTGTAAAAATTACAATGCAAGTTTTATTTTAAAAACTTTCACTATTCTTCAATAAGTTTTCAAGAGATTTAAATAAAATGTAACTTGAAAAATCTTTTTGCCTTCTGATTATGAAAGCTGTTATCTTTTAAAACAAAATAATGCTTAAACATATCACAGCTTTTTTCTACAAGAATAAATAGGAACATGTGTAATATATAAACAAATTGCTATTTTGAAAAATCCAAGATACAATAAGCCTACCTCTGAAATGCCAATTTAAAACATGGTCAAAACAAATATTTAAAAATTACATAATTCTATTTTAAGAATTTATAAAAAAAAATTTTTTTTACAGAAGTCTTGCGAAATAAAAAAACATAGTTTCTATATTAGCTTTGAAAACTAATTATATGATAAAAATTTGTTTATCTATCTTGGAGTTTAAAAAATCTATGTATAATCATATATGAACAACAATGTTAAGACTAGTTAAAAGCATGTCAATCTTAAAACATCAAATGTTTGGCGATTAAAAAAGTTAAATCCATCCTAACTTACATCTGGTGTTAATAATTTTGTGGTATGAAAAAATATAATTTTTTATTGAAAGACTTAAGAAGCAGTTTTCTGGAAATGAAATCCAAAAATAAATTCTGTGAATCCATTAAATAACAACTGGCCTATTATTAAATGATTATCTACATTGGTATAGGTATATTTTAAAAAGGAATTTTAAAGATTTTTTAAGGTGGTTTTTTTTAAATTGAGAATATTCTAAATTGGTCATGCAGATTTTTTTTTTGGTTTTACTAAAAGTTGTAGTCTCCCACAGGCTTGATAAAATCAACCTATATAACATGTATATAGGATTCTATTTAAGCTGAAAGTAAATCATGTTTTAAGTTAATTTTGGCAGAATTTATCTGGTTGGAAATCCTGGTTTCTTTTGAACATTTTGTTTGGCTTGTCCCAGAGCAATTTGCCGAGCATTGCCTCCAAACTCCAGGGTGTTACAAGACTCGGGATAGTTGCTTATGTCTGGACTGATATTTACAAACAAGCACGCCTGAAATAGCATGTTTCATTGATAGAACAATTAAAAGCTAATCTTATCTCAGTCAGATTTGGTTTGTTTAAGCAATTCTACGTTCAGTTTGAAAACAACTTTAAAAATGCTAACATAAAGGATTTATTATAATAGGAATAATTATTTAAGAAAAATATGAACAAGCTTACTTTAGCATCACCACCCAAACATGGCTTTAGTATTTGAGTGAGTTTAGAATTTCTGTAAGGTATGTGAAGCTGACTTTCCCTTAGAGCTGAAAATACCTGGAGAAAATAATTTAAAAATTAAGCTGAGGAATCATCCATAAATGATGTCACATTTTTAACAATGTTTAACTTTTCTCTACCCTGTTATCACAAAATGTCAGACATCATACTTCAGTCACATTGCACTTTTTCATAAGTGTATACTGATCAATTTTTGATATGTTTATCAATTTTTATTTCAATTTAAAAAATACACATAAAAAAGTGAAATTAACTTCTAAAATTCAATTTTAAAAATAGCATTTTATAAAAATGCCAAACTGTGACAGCATAAAATTTCTGATTGGCATCAAAGAGAGGCAGATGGGCCATTATTTTAAATATATGAGTGCTCTGTTACATCTTGTGCTGAGATGTATAGCTACATACTGAAATCAAGAATATATATTTTATTTATATCACCACAAGTTCAATTGACTAATCTTGGTGAGCTCTAAACCCAACAAATCAAGTTTTAATACTGATTTTAAAAAAAATTTAAATAAGAGTTCTTTTAGGTTTGATACTAGAAGCTTACCTGGCCAAGTGCTGAAAGAGATTTATTTATGGCTGCAGCTTCTACCAATCTCTGGCCAGCAGCCTCTGTTTTGCTGATTCTCTCAGACCCTGCAAGGTCACAAAGGGTCAAGACACCATGTGAAGTGGCCCCAGTGACCTTGTCCTGACCATCTACAGTTATCATCAGGACCAAATGTGAACGGGAACTGGTTGATACAAAAACATTTGAAACTGTAAATACTTTGTTGTAGAGCAGAGGAATATACAAAAGCAACAAAGTCTAAACATTAGACAAAGAATCTAGAGAGCCATAAAAATTACATATTTTTTTGGTGAGGTGTTGCCATAAATGACAAAGGTTATTTTAAAAAGATTATAACTAGATGGTCCACACTATGCATATTGATCAATTTTTATTCCAATTTACAAAAAAGTCTTTACACAAATGAGAACAGCTAAATTTTTGTTTCAAAACGAGTATCTGAAAAGCGTTTCATCACTCTTTCTGAACTTGTTTCCCTCTTGCTGAAATCCAACCCCCCCCCCTTCCTGAGTAAATTGTCATTTTTGTCAAATACACCCACAATTTTAAAATAGGACTGTCCATTGATATTTTATCAAAGCCCCTTAATACCAATTATAATTGCTTAATTAGGGTTTAAAAAAGTATTTTAATTAATGCAAAATATCACAGCTATAAATAGAAAAGATTATGTAGTCAGTGACCTGGTAGAGTTCATCTTGGTGGACGCTGTTTTTCTGTTGCTGTCCCCCAGCTTCATGATACTTTTAACGTCGTCCACTTCCTCGACCAGCATCTCAGTGATGTTAGGGATCTTGACTGTGTTGCCTATGATGCTCAGCTCCAGGGTCCTGGCGTCTTCACTCAGCAGGTCCTGGACTGTCTCGTTGTAGATCTCCACCATTGATACCTGCGCAAGATGGCACATTCAAACATGATATAAACATGGGTGGTTGAACAATACTGGTACAACCACTGAATACAACAGCAAATACAACATTAAAACATCAAGATCAGTAGCGTACGCAGGGGGGGGAGCAGGGGGAGCAGCCGCTCCCCCTCTGGCCATTTTCGGCAAAGTGGCGCCTTTTTGGAAACTTTTTAAATTCAAAGTTTTAAACAATGATATTTGTTAAAAAATATTTTTGGTCGGCACATCTATGTAAATCACAAGATTTCTTTTCATGCAGCAATATTTTGCATTATTGTTCTAGTCTAGTAGTGTCTACGTTTACAACACGTATTAATCGCTGCATCAGTTTGCCATTCTAAAAATAACCATTACGATGAATTGCAATTTTTAAAATACCTCTACGATAGTACCAATTGGCAAGAGGGGTGTTTAAGGCAACTGTATAATGTATTTGCTTACGAATAATTGAATTAGAAAATGTTATACATAAAACTTCACACATAATTACTTTATATATACAGTTTGAATCGTGTTTGAATACAGAAACAGTTTGGGCGATAGTGATTACGATTACAAATTATATGAAACAGTTACAACCCCCCCCCCCCCCCTCCCCATGTAAAAAAATATTGTCATAATACCACTGCTACTTATTTAAATCTATTTCTGTAATATATATCTGTGTAATATATATTTGTGTAATATATATGTATGTTTAGAACAGTTATCTAAAAACTGACGCTATGTTCACTCTGAGTTGGTTATCTCCCCCCCCCCCCCCCCCCCCACACACACACCTCACCACCACAATTGTGTAGAGCGACATTAATGTCACACCTAGGTATACACTGGGTTGGATAATTGACCTAAAGTGAACGGACAGTGGTGAATGAAGTTGAACCCTCCCCCCTCCCCAACCCACCCCGAACTGATCTGTTAAGTACATGTAGAGAACGCGTAATGATGTACCATAGTACCATGCCGCCAGAAAATTAGCTTTTTAAACGTAAAACTCTGTGAATATTGTTTTTGAAATTACCAGTAAAAAGGTGTGTGATCAATACAGTGATCTAACCCATACCTATCACTATGTTAAAAAAAATGATCTTTAAAGAACACAAAGAAGCAGTAGTTAATCAAAATGTATGTACTGAACTGAAAGACCGATATTTAGTTATATGTAGGCTGTTATTCCGAATGTTTTTCTAGTTGTCGAAAAGAGTGCTTTTATACCAACTCTGATTTTAAAAACTTTCATTATGCTGTAATTTTTTAGCATTTATGATGACGATATATTTAATTCTGATTATAGGCAAAAACATTTTGTAAACACGAATAGTCTTAAATAATTTCATTATATTCTAAAGTAATTATTTATTTGTTTTGACATTTATAATTAAATATGTAGATATATACATATTTATATTAAGAGAGTGTTTATTTCCCCTATTTCCCTTGTCTTAAATAATTCCCCAGGAATTATTATGTAAGAAATTTTGTTTACAAGAATTACAAAACAGATTGTGTTACGTTACGTTCATTGTTTTTGGTTGTAGTGTATATATATATATATATATATATATATATATATATATATATATATATATATATATATATATATATTGTTTAGATTGATACAATTTTTGTTTTGTCGGCCAACATTGTGTGTTTTTTCTTATTTCTTCAGAGTGCTACTTTCAATTTATTTTACATCACAGCGAATTAATGACATACAGTATATATATATATATATATATATATATATATATATATATATATATATATATATATATATATATATATATATATAACGTATATAGAACGTGTTAAATATTCGGCGCCTTTTTTTCTTATTTCGCTCCCCCTACAACGAAAACCTGGATACGCCTCTGATCAAGATATACTGGTAGCTAAATAAAACCAATTAAAACCCAAATGAACAGATCCAGCCTCTAACTAAAGGCCTTACCTTTAAAGAGTATGACTTTGTTTCCGATCTCTGTTGACAAACTTTCAGCAATTCTTGGATAGCTCTGTTAAAATTTTTTACAAATCATCATTAGCTTGAGTTGTTGAGTTGTATTGAAAGTTACATGTCCATATTTTTTAAAAGCTTCTACAACCATCTTAAATGTGTATTGTCTTTAAAGAAAACAGTGTTTATGACTAGTTAATTGTCTCTAATAAAAACAGTGTTTATGATTAGTTAATTGTCTCTAATAAAAACAGTGTTTATGATTAGTTAATTGTCTCTAATAAAAACAGTGTTTATGATTAGTTAATTGACTCTAATAAAAACAGTGTTTATGATTAGTTAATTGTCTCTAATAAAAACAGTGTTTATGATTAGTTAATTGTCTCTAATAAAAACAGTATTTATGATTAGTTAATTGTCTCTAATAAAAACAGTGTTTATGACTAGTTAATAACGTGATCACCAAACATCATTATTTTTGTTCTAACACTAGGTTTTCTATTAGGGGTCAGAGTTTGACAATCTGGGCCTTACACACATCTACAGCCAAGAGCCAATAACCATCAGTTGTTGACATACAAAGAAAGGTAGGTTATTGTTTTAGGGAATTTTAAGTAGTGCTAAACAGTAGGGTAGCTTTTAGTCACATGACATGCTATTTACCAGAAGTTTTCAGTACAGTCAAAGAATACTATTCAAAGCTTATGAAATGTTAATTTAAAAATACATTAAATTGTTATAAAGATAAAAATAATAATTGCTGTGATATTTTACTTTTTTTGTGTCCATAAATATTTTTGTAGAATTATCAACATCACCAATAAATTAAATCATCAAACTAGGATAACCAAGGATATAAAAAAATCAAACCTTTGTTTATAGTAGAATTACCTATGCTATAAAAATCCAACCTTATGTATATTCTAGGGTAACCAATGATATAAAGAATCTAACCTTATGTAAATACTAGGGTAACCAATGATATAAAGAATCCAATAGTATACTTATGCTAAGGTAACCAATGATTATGAAGAATCCAACTGTATGTATATGCTAAGGTAACCAATGATATAAAGAAGCCCACCTTATGTAACTGCTAGGGTAACCAAGCCACTAGTATAAAGAATCCCACCTTATGTTTATGCCAGGATTATTGTCCACGCCCATCATGGTGAATGTTTTTCCTGATCCAGTTTGTCCGTAGGCCAGCAGACACACATTGTAACCATCCACACAGGATGTAATGATTGGTTGGGTGTCTGCAAATATCTGGTGGATCACAGGAAGTAAGTTGATCACTTGATTTCAGATTGTTTTTGGTGTTGTTTATAAGTGAGTTAAAAGTTAAGACCAGTGGTCATGAGTTTGTTCAGAATAACATTACTGATTACTGGCTGAAGGTTTTGAGTTCAAATCCCAGTTTTAAGCTGACATGTGGATCAAGTCTATAGGATGTTTTGACCATATAGTTTTAGTGAGAACCTTATGATAGTCTAGGGAAAAAAATACAAGGCCACAAAACCACTCTATAGGCCACAGATGTTTTCTACATTTAACCCTCAAGTTTTGAAAGAGAGTTGTCTTAAAACTATGCTGTAATCATGCTTGTAAATGGGTCCTCATTAACACAGAGTAGCTTCTGAACTAGGGATGGCATAGTTGAATGATAGAGCGTATCTGACTCACGTTAGTGCTGATCACATTATCCCTTCTTATGCCAAGTTCAAAGAAACAGGTGAACTCTAGTCCACCTGCCGCATGAACCACAAGTTAACTGACCTGTTCCTGTGTTGCATCTGTCCTGTACACCTTATCAAAGCTGAAGGTTCTCTTGCTGCCGTCTTGGTTGGTCAGCTGTATGTCCTGGTCTGATGGGAAGCTGAGGCAAAGCTTGGCTCTATCATCTCGTCGTGGACGACAAAACACACGGATGTTGCCCCTCAATTCTTGCAACTACGGAACAAATTTTTTTCTTGAGTAAAGTCAGCGTTTTAACTGATTTAGAAATCAATTTTAGGGTGAGGTTTGTGTCTGATTGTAATGATTTCACACATTTCAAGTAAAAGAATATTGATAAGAGTTGTAGTAGAATTTCTATTATTAAATTTTTACTTCATAATTATATATAGAAATCATACAAGTATTATAAGAATGATGCAAATAGTATATGTTTTTATCAGAACACCACTTGACCAAACATACCTGATTGTAAAGAAGACGGCGCTGCAAAGCTTCTTTCTGATATAAGGCTCGCACCTCCTCTAGCTCTTGTTTGGAACCAACATCAGATTTCTTGAGATCCGCAGCTGCTCTAATAGCCTGACAGTGGTGGAAGTATGGTGGATAGACTTGAATGATTTTCTTTTATTAAACTGTTACTGAATACAACCCTACGTGGTACAGCACTGAATACAACCCAATGTTGTAGAGCACTGAATACAACCCAATGTTGTAGAGCACTGAATACAACCCAATGTTGTAGAGTACTGAATACAACCCAATGTTGTAGAGCACTGAATACAACCCAATGTTGTAGAGCACTGAATACAACCCAATGTTGTAGAGCACTGAATGTAATGTTGTAGAGCACTGAATACAACCCAATGTTGTAGAGCACTGAATACAACCCAATGTTGTAGAGCACTGAACACAACCAACTGTTGTAGAGCACTGAATGCTATGTTGAACAGCACAAAGCATGAGATAAGAGAATAAGTTACCTCACTAATGACAGCGTTGACAGATCCGATGTTCCTTAGGACATCCATCTTGAGGTGGACATGAGATTTGTGAAGGTTTTTAACCTGGAGATTCAGTTCTTCCAGATCTCTCTCTGTGGCACCAACTGGAGCCACTGTCACCTTGAGAAAAGTTCAAATGTTTATCAATCTTTGTACTTTAACACTCAAATACAGTTAGGTAAACTTTAAAAATAAACCATTACTTTTTACAGCAAAATATTAAAATCTGCAAAGAAAAATGTGTATAAAATTACAATAAAATTACACATAACTTTGGCACTGTTATACAAAAATAACCTTACAGGAGTTTTGGGCCTTGCTGTTTTTGGTCTTGATTGCTGCATGGCTTCCATCTGTCTTTGAGCTGAAGTGGCATCAGCACTGATCTTGCTGTATTTCTCCTCTAACTCTGACAGCTGGCAAACATAAATCAATAATTACTTTTCAAAATCACTTTCTTATGTGAAGTTGCAGATCAAGTGCACCTCACGGTTGTAGATAGGGGAATACCCTTGATGTGTGGTAGGTACAAGGGAAATCAAATGGTGAACCAAAACAAAGCTTGTTACAGAAAACCAAACAGAGAACATTTAGAAAGTTATGTCCTGGAAGAGGAAAGATCTTAATTACAAAGAGAAATGATGCAGAGTGGTGAAAGCCAAGAGAACGCTGCACAAGGTTGAGCAAACAGGACAGGGGATTCTGGAGATCTTTAGTTCCCAGCAGGGGTGACAGGCAGTGAATCAATGAAAATCACTTTACACAATCCAAGAAAGTATAAAATTATCACCAAGTGTCAAAGGACTGCATGGAAAGTTGAGTTACTTTTTAAAAAAAAGTTTTTGGAAATAAAACCTCACTAAAATCAGTCACAGTATACTTTGTTTTTAAAACAAACGAAATTACCTGACAAAACTTAGAAATGTAACTAGTGGAAGAAACATCTGCCTTATTTGTAAACTTTTATTCAAGCTGATGTCACCACCAGATACCCCATTTAACATAACTGTATTAAATTAAATTTGTAGAGCTAATACACTTACCTGTCTTTCTGCTTCCTCTCTAGCTCTTTTTTCTGACGCTAGTTCCATTTCCTAAAATAATTTTTTTAAATTTAGATAATAAAACAATATGGAACTAGATCAAGAAGCTTATCATTTTTTACACAATTCAATCTAGAAGTGATAAACCTTACTAGTTTTTTTAGTTTTTGTGTCAGTTCTTCAATCTTCTTATCTTTATTTTCATCAGCTCTTGCATCCTTAGATGTGCGCTGTGGCAGTAACCAATCTAAAAGAAAATGTTCACATTTTGTTTTATGATAAAGATAACTTATATTAACTCAAGACATTTTTTAAAATAAATTATGATGTAAATAGATTATCTCATGAATAAGTATTTCTGAATTTCTTGTGTAAAATATATTTTATTCTATTTTTATGCTAAAATAATAGAAATAATATTTACCCAATAGCTTGGAAAGTTTTAAACAAAAGATATAATTATTAACTTACAAATTACAAGTTGCTTTAAATTCATTAAACACAAATTCATTATTTTGTGTCATGAGGAACAGCACACTCCTCACTATCCAAGAATCGTATAGTATTTTTTTAAATGTAAGAAAATGTGATATTTTAATAAACAAAATTATAGTTATACATGCAACACATGAACTGTAAAACCACACCTAAATTTTTAAACCTGTGAAGTGATAGTTTAATTAAAAATATAAGCGTTATTTAAATCTGTGATTTTTTAGTTCACTTCTGCTTCTGGCTGTTAGGCCTATTGTATGTTATTGCCAATACAATAATAATTTGATGGCTGACTTTGGCTCAAGTTTATGACTTCCCAATACTTAAGCTCAGTAATAACAGAGATATTAATTTGACAATATAGAGTAACATACTTTTAAAATCAAATTTAAATCATGCAACAACAATTTTGAAAATGTAAATGAATCTAAAAACTGGCATAAATTTTTAAAATATGCATGCAGGACATAAAACCATTCAGCAGCCAACTTTGGGTTCCTAGTTTGTTTTCATTTTGCTAACATATTAAGCAGGAACAGAAGCATATCACACAAAGTTTATTTTAATAAAAGCAGGGGTTTGGTAAGTCCAGTGGTTGATGAACTAGTCTACTTGCTTAAGGTCATATATCAAAACTCTAAATCCAATTATCAAGCGTACTTACTGTATGCTAAATTATTGCATTAGCAATATTAACTATACAAATATTTATATTTTCTTATCGACTTAATGTACTTATTTTTGTAATTAATGGGATTAGTATGTTTTAAAAAATGGGAATGTTAGTCACATCTATGAGAAAATCAGGCATGGGGAAAATTAATTGACCCAAGCATAACTCAAACAAAAAACAAATAGGTTAAATTCTCCCAGAAACAAATTATAAACATTTTTCTGGGTAGTTTACAACTAAGCTGAAAAAATGAACACAATTTTAATCTAGCAAACTGACACAGAGCAATTACATTGAGAACTTAGCAGTGATTTTTTTTTATATTCTACCTCCTTCTGAAAAAATACACAAAAACATTTCTGATGAATATTATACATTTAAAATTGTTGAAACAGACACTTTTTAATTGTGAAAAAAATGACACAACTTGTTGTTACTTAATCTTACTGGTTCTCATCCAGTATTAATTAGGAAAGGGGGTTCACCTAGAGTAGTTGCCATTGGGTATGCAAGACTGAATATTTATTTAGTCCAGCATCCCATGGCACTATAACTGGTTGAGCACCACATTTATTTATTTGAATATTTAAAAAGCTGGTTTAACTTTAAGAAAAAATAAGCAACTTTAGAGCAGATTTAAAGCTAATTTTGTTTTTACAAATGTAATTAACTTATTAACAAAGCTAACTAGAGTAACACATAGTTTTCTTCAGTTCTAACACTTGATTTATAAACTACACAGATAAATATAAAAAGCAAGACTAATGCAAGAACTAACTGTAAGAAACAAAGCATGTTTTTATATTGAGTTTCAACAATTAAAAAACGTCTTCTGAATTTCATTCTCTTGCTGATACCAGCTAATACCAGCATCCACATTGTAAACTAATAACAGCATCCACTTCTATTAAATGTCCTAATACAATGAAATCCCACTTACTATCGCCTTCCAAAAGCAAGTAAGTTCCAATACACTCATCTGGACTATAATTGCAGGCACGCAGCAGAGCTAGTATATCTGCTCTATCTTTCCAGTCGGGTAATGCTTCCTGAAATTGTTTTAGAAATATACTTTAGTATAAAAAATAGTGTTATTGTTATAATTAAACAAAAGGGAAATAACTGCAAATATTTGAGGAGCTAAATATATTTCCATTCTCAACAAACATGGATGAACTTATTACTAAATGTGTTATAAACTATATGAACCTTTTTCTGAACAAACAAACAAAAATTAATTATTTAGTTTACAGCTTCAGTTAATTAAGTAAATTAAGTGTTTTTACTTTCTCGTATATACGAAGTATAGAGAAAGTATTGTAATCGTGCAAAAAAAAAAAATCGAGATTTTTACAGATCTCGACGTTTTACACCTCACTGATACGGAAAAACATAATTTCGCAATCTTGTCCGTATGTCTGTGTGTGTGTGTGTCTGTGTGTCCGTGTGTAAACACGATAACTTGAGTACCGTTACAGCTAGGTTGATGAAATTTCATATATAAGTATTATATCAAAATCGTAGATCCGTATCAACTTTTGAGCGATTTCCGATAACCGGGAGTGGTACTTTTCCTACTTTGAATTTTTCAAAAGCCTATAACTTGAGTACTATTTCAGATAGATAAATGAAATTTCACATGTAAGTAAAAGATCTAATTCTCTACCTTCTGTTAAATTTTGAGTAATTTCCGTTGACTGGAAGTAGTAATTTACGCTACTTCCGATTTCTCAAAAAACTAATGTAAATTTTAAAAGTACTAATAATATTGCGCACTATTATGCACTTTTTTATTGGGCGTTCACTTGGTGTGCAATTAATTTGTCTACGAGATTTTATTCTATTTTTAAAACTTTAAGTATTTAAAATGGATTAAAAATCATGTCTATAGCCCGAGTTCCCATCCCCTGTTATTTTATATAAGAATATTCGAGAAAGTTTAGGGGAGATCACTCCCGGTTTATTTTAAACAAACTTTTTAAATTTATTAACTTTTTTCATTACTATGTCATAAATGTCAATTAAACAATTTGCATTTTACAACAAGAAAATGAAATTGATATGAATTAGTTTGTGTACAGCTGTAACAGCAGCAGGGGGCTATTTTCAAACTTAATAATTTTAAGTCCATAAAAAGTGGGAAAAGATATTTGAAACAAACCTCTATATGATCAACCATCTGTTTTACTAGGTCGTGATGCAACTCCCAACCTATAGGCAGTCTCAGCCACTTGCCAGTTTCTTTATCAAAGAAAAAATGAATGTATTGACGTTGCTGAAAAAAGATAAGTCAAATTAAAAATTAATGAAGTATTTTAAACTCTTTAACTACAAATGAAGGGTGGGTTTCATCATACATTTTGAATAAAAAGCAACATACTGTAACAACTATAAATATGTTAGAAATTTTTTGTGAAGGATACATTTGCTTTTCTTGATCTTATACATAACTAATTCTCTGAGAAAAATTGAACTGATTGAATTTTTTCATATGTTCTCTGATGAGCTAATTAAACTTTGTTTCTCTAAATGTTTTTAGACTAATTGATAGGACCAGCAGTGGTAGAAACAGAATACTGGCGAGTTTGTAAAAACAAAATACTACGTTCATCAGTGAGTCCCTGTTTACAAATATGACATCGTGCCTGGTCAACAGAGGTTTCAATACCTACCCCACAGGGAAATGTATGAATAAACATGAACATAGTAATTTTTAAAATAGTTTTTAACTTGTTTACTTGCTTTATTTATTGTAAATCATACAATAAATGACGAAGCTCAGCTAAAGTATTTAGAAAAGTGACATAAAGAAGTACAGCCAGCTTAAGCTTTTACCTGTAATAAGTTACTCTGTTCCTTAGATAATTAATACATAATTTTGTTTCTTCCACTAAGTCTCAGCAAGAACAAAAAAACCATGAAATATTTACACTTATCATATATTTTAATAAATGTTATACACATTAAAAATCTACCTTAAAATAACAAAAGAATTACAAAAAAATATTCCTTACCTCCATTAAATATGTTTGTATTTTTCCTCTCTTTGGATGTTTGAGACTGCCTAACCTATCATCATCATCGTTGTGATTTTGTTCACGGTGAGATGATTGCTGGAAGAATAGTTTGTCTTACATTCAGTTCAAGCATGGATTAAAAATTTTACTTTTAAAGTAAAATAAACAGGACTATTTTCAACTCGAAATTGTTAGTGTTTCAGCAAATTGAAATTTTGAAAAATAAATTAATTTTCCATAGAAACGGCACCCAAATATAGGAATTTGTTTTCTTAATTTAAATCAGGATGATCACCATTGTTTCTGGCAATAAATTAAATGAATTTTCAGGTTTTTACAGGCACAAATTATAAATTTTAATGAAATATTACTGTTTTAAAAATTGAAGTGCTAATGCTTTTTTTTATTTTAATTCATAAAATCTTTTGAGTGAAATTTTCCTCAAATGTAAAATTAGATTTCATAAAAATGTCCATCTCTAAGCAATGTTTTATTTAATAACTGAGCAATTATTTAAAACGATTTTTTTAATGGAAAGATTCATGTATTTTGTATGACATAATAAATAAATCATCAATAAAAAATGAAAAAATTAATATTAGCAAAATTAAAGGTTTTATTGTGGCTAAGATTTGTAAAAAGAAACTTTAAATTAATTATGAAATTGTTCAAGTAAATCTATGAGAAAATAGACTGCAAACCGTTAGAATTCTCACTAAAAATAATTACATATATTTATGCTATTAGAAACTAGGTATGAAAGTAGACGTGGTGTTTACTGTATTTGGAGCAATGTCATCCATTGGCCTTAAGGTTCCTTCTTGATACCACTTTTCTGGAAAATGTTGCCAATCCTAATAAGTAGACAAAACCAACAATAAATGTGACAACTCCATTCTCAACTGACTGGCAAAGTAAAGAAGTATAAATGATATGAAAGCAAACCAACATGCGAGTGCCAATCATCAAGGTAGTACCGCTTGCCTCCCCTGTTGGCACAGACATATTCTCTTCCAGTAGAGTGATGTGTAAACACTTCAAAAGTCACATCATCATCCTGTGGACAAGAATGTACACAATTTAATGGAATTGGAAGGAAGTTAACAGATGTTCTTCATGTAAAAATATACAATTTTATATTTAATCTCATTGTTTCAAATAAGGTTAAAACTTAAAATAATTCATTATAATTACAAACATGCTAAGCAATTTTTTAAAATATTTAGAACCAAAGTAGATCTACAGAAAACCATTATGCCAACTTAAGTTAAACAACTAAAAAATCTATTAACATTACATAATACAAAATTGCTTTGCTGTAGTTATGATCTTATTTTTAAAAAAATTGGTTTGACTTTAATAAATAGTTATAGAAATATGAAAGTAATGTGCTCTAAAGTAAAGAAATGTGGTGAAACGAATAATATAATTTTGCAACTACATTTGAATAGATATGATGCAAAACACTTAAGCCAATGGTGAATGTAATAGCCAAGATTTTTAAATACATTCAAGTAATTTAAATATGCTATCACTTGTGTTAACTGAAAACAGTCATAGTGAAACAGTCATTTTTATTTAAAAAATTCAGCAATCTATATTTAATTATAACATTTCATTATAAAAGAATGTAACAGAATTTAAATTTTATCAAAAAATATTAAAATAGGTAAACAAGTAAATACAGTTGTGACACACTTAATCATCATCTTTGTCCAATTAATATGATCAGTTGATGGCAATTTAATTTTGGTTGTTGGAGGTGGGTGGGAATGGAGCTATGATCAGCTGTAGCTGTGGTGGGTGGGGTACAGTGGTTTGGAGAGGGGAGTTGTTTAAATGATCATCTTTGTTATGTTTCTATGATCAGCTGTGGGTGTGGAGTAAAGGGCGGGGGGGGGGGGGACAGGATGGTGTTAAATGATCATCTTTGTTATGTTTCTATGATCAGCTGTGGGTGTGGAGTGGGGGGGGGGGGACAGGATGGTGTTTAAATGTTCATCTTTGTTAGGTTTCTATGATTAGTTGTTGGAAAGTTGCAATTATAGACCAGCTGTGGTTGTGGTGGTTGGGTGTTTATGTCTAAGTGTATGAGCTATGTGTTAAAATCAGTTGTGATGGGTGGCAATATTTGACCATATGGCCAGCACTTTTGTTGTGGTGAGGGGTGTGGTGCTTCAATAATCTGTGACAGTGTGACCAGCACTTTGATGTTATGCATGTTGTGAAGGGAGTGAACAAATGATGACACACTGTAACTTACAGCTCCTCCCATTAACAACTGAACATGTATAAAAACAGAAGGTGGTTAAATAGTCTGATTTATAGAGAGATTTCAACAGAGAATAACCAAATCAAATACACAGTGAAACAAAGACATGGTTTTATGTAGCTTTACTGCATTACTTTCTAACTTTCTAGAAGGTGTGAGCGAAAACATTGATTGATAGATTTCTTCTAATGCTGCTAGCTAAGGAAGCTGGATTGGCTATATTCAACCAGTACTGTGATTGAAAATCAATAATTATAATCAATACAATTCTCCTGACTGATGCAAATATCAGATTGATTTACTGTCGATTGTGAACTTTTAACAGTGTGAAATTATCCACATTTTAAACTAGATGGATTATGGGCCATAATTAGGCAATTTTAAAAGCATCAATGAGTTAGTACTAAAAGATTTTTGTGTAGATATAAATCCTATTTCAAGATGCCATATCATCCTGTCATCCCTTGCAGGGGCCAAGTCTTAGGGCTACAAAACACACGAATCTATACTTTCAAGTACCCCCCCCCCCCCCAATGTCTGAAAGAAACCCTGATTGTCACCAGTTAAATCCTTCAACTAATTCTTGAACCAAAGTGCTCATTCTATGATGGCAATAGGCTTTAGGCAATTTTGTAAAAGGCTTGATTGACACTATTCATCATAGGTGTTGTACAGTAAGGTGGAGTGTGTGGTCTGCCACAGTAGCCACGCTTATGGATATATGTATTAATGTACACACACACACACGCATATATATATATATATATATATATATATATATATATACACTGCAGTGCGTGTGAGCATATCATATCCACACATAGTGTGCGAAGAAAATGTGCACCTACATCAACAACATCTTTAACTTGTTTGAGGTCATAGAAATATGGTGAAAGTGTACTTTTGTACTTGGCTTTATTTACTGTAAAAGTTATTATAAAGATTATTTCCAATTTGCTGTGTAAGTAAATTGATGACACCAATGGAAGCAATATGTTAATTGATTACACGCTACACATCTGAGAAAATACAGACATGAAACAAGCCATCAAACAATAGGAGATGGGTTTAGAAGGCAGCAAGCAGACATTTTGAATTAAGTTGTTTTAATTTGATGCACAGGAAAACCACACAGAAAAGAAGAGAGGTTATACTACCTGTAGACCTGCAGCTATGCCTCTGGCATCTGCACTGGACAAAGAAAAAGCTGCCAGGACATTTCTTTAATAGTAAGGTCAAATGGGATGGTTTAATGTGATCAAAGGCGTATTAGGCAACATCAACAGCAGCAGAAACTATGTGTGTTTTATTTGTCTATACAAAAAGAAGAAGTAACCACACAAACACCAGTCTGAACCTAACACAACTGACTATGCCACATGGGGAACAAATGATAAAAATCACTGAACACAGCTGGTAACATTAATGGGCTAGCAACTATTGCTGTACAAATAAGTTGTCAAAACTAATCAAACATGAACAGCAAATACAAAACAATATGCATCAACAGAAGGAATCTCCCAACATATAATAACACTGGTATGTTTCCACCAATCTACAACATTGGAAGATGATTAAATTTTTAAAAACTTTCACTTAAGCTCAAGAAAAAATTTAACACAACAGCCAGGAAATGAAACAAATAAATTCAGAACCTAATCTAACATGTTTACACATTATACCTTTGTATGGGCTTTAACATTCACAAGTGATTTTTCATCCTTTTTTAGATAGTGTTACAAAGATAGAGAAAAATTGGTTAAATGTATCACACGATAATATGATAGAGGACTAGCAATTTCATGACTAAGATCTACATAGATCTATTGATTTAAGGAATAATACAATATATAAGCCTAGATATTCTGATTTATGAATAATAAGATATATATAGATTTTTCTGTTTTTATCAAGAATAACAAGATGCATAGATCTTATAGATAACAATAGATCTAACTCTACCAATAGATTTGTGTAGCTTAGTTTACCAGAGGGCGAAGGATGTAGTAGCTTACCTGTAGATCAGTTCTGCGTCTCTGTCCATCTCGCGATGTTGCAGCTCCTGACTGACCATGCTGCAATGAACTGTTGGGACTATTTTCATGACGCGCATACCTATTTCTGGAAGTTCCTGAGGCATCATTAGCCCGAGATCCTGCAAATGTTGAGTCAGTTATCACTTAAAAAACCTGAGCTATGACCCAGCAGGTAACTGTAAGTTTTTAAAAAAAAGTGTAGGCCTTAATTATAATGTAGGCCTTAATCATAATGTAGGCCTTAATTATAATGTAGGCCTTAATTATAATCTAGGCATTCATTATAATCTAGGCCTTAATTATATTCTAGGCCATAATTATAATCTAGGCCTTAATTATAATGTAGGCCTTAATTATGATCTAGGCCCTAATTATAACCTAGGCCCTACAGCAGGGCTGAGAAACTCTCAACCTGCGCACTAGTCAACTGACCCTGTGGAGTTCGGGAACTCATGTTGCCTGACCCCCCAGGGGCCTGGACCTGGACTTCCTGGAAGTGCCCGCTCCTGCTGGTGGTGGCTTGTGCTCTCCTCGCTGTGCCGGGGTTCTCTGTGGGTCGTGGTGTTGAAGATTCAGACTTGGAAGCACCACTGCCCATTATACAGGGGCCATCCTGAAAACAGAAAACATTGGCAGACCATGAAGTGATGATGACTTATGGTTCAAAATAAAACCTAACAAAACCATTGTTATAAATAGATCTAAAAAGACAAATGTACAAATGTCAAATAGTGAAAGGACAAGACAAAATTAATGTAATGGGGAGAACATTCTTTAAAAGACTATTTGACTATTTGACTCAAGACATATTGACCAAATATTTTAACTGAGTGGGTGAAGCAGCAGCAGATTGAACAGTTGGGAGTGAGTAGAGTTGAGACTCCCACAAGTTAAAAACCAAGAAAGAATAAAATACCATGACAGGGGAGACAAGATGACAAAGGGCAAAGCGGAGTCAGATTATCTTTTGATGTGCTCTTAATATACTATTTAATATAAGCCTATTAATTATTACACTCAGAGTTTCTTCCAGGCATCTCTTATGGATATAAGAAATTTTTTACCGCCCCCCCCCCCCGAACGAAATGAAATTTATATAATTTATATAGAAAATATATACTTTTAACAGTGTCCACCCCCGAAGAAAGTTTACCGCCCCCCCCCCCCCCGAAGATTTCAAGTGCCCCCCGGAGAAAAAAGTCTGGAAGAAACACTGATTACGCTATATATAGGCAGCAGAGTTTCTTTCAGGCATATGGAATTTATATAGTAAACATACACTTTTACTAGTTTCCGCCGCCCCCCCCCCCCCGAAAAATGTTGACCGCCCCCCCCCCCTTCTCTTCCATTATTAGATGACCTACTAACCCGTTGATCTACTGGGGGCACATTTTATCATCGTATAAAAAAAATGTTGAACTTAAGGTTATTTAACCTAAAGCTAAATAAATGTAGAATTGTAGATCTATAGGCCTACTATTCTATACCCTTGGTAATAATAAGTAATAAGTAACGATTTTAACGATTTAAATAATTTTCCAGGTTCAAAAGGCTCACTTCCGTATATCGCAATTTCCGGTGCGTTTACGTCACTAACCATGGAAACTTTGACTGACGTACGTATAAATAGAAATGTAATTGATTACTCGGCTATTCATCCACAAACGTATTTAAATGTGTCTTGTGAAGCGATGTCCACTGTGGCGAACTGTTTCCTGTTTAATCTGTTGGTGATTGTTGGGTAGGACGACAAGAATAGACTTATGACACTCAGGCACAATCAGTGCATTGGGTCATTACATGTACTCATAGTGCTGTTGCCATAGCACTGGGTACTCATTACGTTTTCAAATTATGACCATTTGATTTACTTTCCATTAAAAGAAAAATAAAATAAAGTAACTCCGGTTTTTAGCACCGTAAAATTTAGTTAGATCAACTGGCAATGACTTTCTCGAACCAACCCTAAGTGTAGCTCAACAATCATCACTAGCTGTGGCTCCCAAAGTAAAGAGCTAAAGAACTAACCCGACATGCGGCTAATTAAACTCCATAAAATTTAGCTCCTACACCGGTTATCAATAAGAGGCTCTTTGTACAAATAAGGCTTTTAAAGTGTATAAATACGGCTCTTTAAAGGTATAAATACGGCTCTGTAACGTGTCTAAATACGGCTCTTTAAGTTGTCTAAATACGGCTCTGTAAAGTGTCTAAATACGGCTCTTTAAGGTGTCTAAATACGGCTCTCTAAAGTGTCTAAATACGGCTCTTTAAGGTGTCTAAATACGGCTCTTTAAAGTGTACAACTACGGCTCTTTACAGTGTATAAATACGGCTCTTTAAGGTGTATAAATACGGCTCTTTAAGGTGTATAAATACGGATCTTTATGTGAAAAAATACAATCCTTCTGAAATGAACTTGTTACCGAGAATACAGTGTAGATCAAACAGTTAAAGCTTTAGCGTTTTTTTTTTCACCTAAGGTCAGTAAATAGGGTTTATTACGTCACTGAGAGCATCCAGGTACTACATAGAGCCTACCATAGGGACCATCCGATCACAATACGTGCTTTAAGGTTATAATCGACACAACAGATCCCATTAGCCCCACCACATCCTACTTGAGTTTCTTAAACATTGACTCTATGATAATCGATTATAACCATTACATTGTTTACATTGTACTTAAGTGCACTATTTACACTACGATTATGTACTATATTAAGGACCCGTATTTACAATTACTCAGAGTACACGACTGCAGTACCATCGCGAACCATATTTACAATACCTCAACGCACATATTAGCAATAATTATACGCAATATTCGTATCTTATTATTGCTCACAGTATTTTTTTCCATACTATTATTACGTACTATATTTACCATACAATATAGCGAACGCAGAGGTAAAACTCAAACCTGCTAAACCGAAAAGTCCCGAGCAGTGTTTCTTCCAGACTTTTTTCTCCGGGGGGGGGGGGGGGGGGGGGGGGGGGGACGGGGGACTTGAAATTGAAATTTTCGGGCGGCGGGGGGGGGGGGGGCGATAGACTTTCTTCGGGGGGGGGGGGGGCGGACACTGTTAAAAGTATATATATTTTCTATATAAATTATATAAATTTCATTTCGTTCGGGGGGGGGGGGGGGGGGGGGGGGGGGGCGGTAAAAAAAAATTCGGAAGAGATGCCTGGAAGAAACTCTGGTCCCGAGTTCGAACCCCTGGGGCAGATAAGGTTTGATAGTTAGGGACAGCAACCCATTTAGGGGAGAAAACTCCTAAATCAAACAGATGCTAACACGACATCACTGGGCGTATGACCCTCCAGTAAAGGTCACCGGCCAGGGCACTATAGTCCCTAGATGAATTTCAACGGCCACGTGTTCGTGACCAAGGTGAGCCACCTAGATGGGGCGTCCGGCTGTGGTCAGGTATGGAGATATTTAGCCGGTGCCCCAATGACCCCAATAAGGTTAAGGGATTACTTATTATTTATTTTTATAGCGCACCATAAAGAGCACCATATTTACACCACTGGACACTGGGACACAGTGAAAGTGAGTTTTATTTCTTCTTTCAACACATTTCTGAGGTTACGCTCCAACAATAACTAATGACGTCACCAGCTGATTTATATTTACTGTCCAATCATCCAGCGTCCAATTTTCAGGGGAAATTACCTCAGTTAAAACAAGACAGTTGTATGAGTTACCCTGTTGAGTCGACCAGTAATCGGCTACCCTTTGAACCTGACTATACCCTGGGTGTGGAATGGATTTAAATGATTTAGTTAGTGTGAGGTGAGGTGAGCTGGTGATATCAAAGCTGTTACAGTGAGCCGGAAGTCACACCTCACAAAGTTGGGCGGACAACATCAGAAGTAAAAAACGTTCTTTGAAAAATGGGGTATTTGATAAACCTAGACTAGGCTAATTAGATGCTCGCTATCATTGCTAATTTAAAAAAAAAACACTTACCCAAACCCTAACCAACCAATACTTTATTTTCTTGTAAGCTTCAAGTAGAAATACAATATAGTTTACTGTGTTTTTCCTATCAACTTTTTATAAGTATCAAAGGGGTCATCCGTAAATGACGTCACGCTTTTTTGACGATTTTTTACCTCCCCCCCCCCTCCCCTCCGTCACATGTCGTCACAAAAAGCCAGACCCCCCCCCCCTAAAATGACGTCACACCTCAGCCTACAACCCCCCCCCCCCCCCCCCCCCCCTCAAAATTGCTGTTGAATTTTACTTAAACATCGATATTTTTCCAACATCTTGTCAGAAACTATGTCAACACAGAATATTTTAATCAATTCCTATTACAATTTATTAAAACCGTTTTCTAAAACGCGAAATAACGGCTAAAACTCGTTTTCTAACATTGCTTTTTTATAATACAAAAGTGTGACGTCACACCATCTAACCCCCCCCCCCCCCCTCCCCCTCATCACACACCGTCACAAAATTACGGAACCCCCTCCCCCCCTACGAGTGTGACGTCATTTATGGACGACCCCAAAGGTGGAAAGAAATGAAACGACATAAGGGATGAAAAAATTGTTTTTTTTTTAAAAGTAGACACCAGAAACATTTAAACTGACCTGTATGATGGAACCCTTTGGGTAAGTCCTACAGCGATGTACACCCCACTAGAACAAAGGTGGTTTGTTATTCCTCTTTGATTGCTGGCATGGCACTACACTGAAAGAAAAGTTCTCATATAAGTAAGCCAAACCCAACACACCACTAACAGAAACTTTCTCACCTAAGTAAGACAAGCCCAACACACCACTAAAAGAAACTTTTCTCACCTAAGTTTTTAAGATAAGCCCAACACAACACTAACAGGAATGTTCTCACCTAAGTTCGACAAGTCGACACACCACTAAAAGAAAATGTTCTCACCTAAGTTAGTAAGACAAGCCCAACAGAAACTTTCTCACCTAAGTAAGACAAGCCCAACACACAACTAACATAAACTTTCTCACCTAAGTAAGCTAAGCCCAACACCAGCACTAAAAGAAATGTTCTCACCTAAGTAAGACAAATCAACACAGCACTAACACAAATTTTCTCACCTAAATCAGACAAG